TCGGCCCACAGCATGTGTCTTTGTCTCAGGGTCACGGAGTTACGGCTCGGTTATCCTACCTGAACCGAGCGCCTATTGGGGTTTACTTTTTCTCTCCTCCGCCTTTGTGCGATCCTTCGTCCTTTCTTGCGCCCGTTTTGTGAGAAATCATTGCCATAAACTCTATAATTTATTGTCTACAGCTGCACGGGCATCTTGGGCCTAATCGAAGCTGATTCGACTTGATGGAGGCCCTCAGATGACGATGTGGCAAGCAGGTAAGTTCAACCCTGCAACCCCCGTTAAATACACCTGTAAAGGTAAGATGACCATTACGTTAAAGTTCGCGCCGGGATTTGGGTCGAGATTTTTTCTTTTCTCTTTTTTGTTTTTTTTACCACCTTAGTTTTTTGACTTTTGGGGAACCTAAGCTGCTTACGAGTTTGATGTCCCTATAAGGCGGGTTCGGAATAATTGTTTAATTGTAATGGAGGACTTTGATTTTTTAGAAGGAAAATAAATGTTTATTTATGTATATCGTACATAAACGATCATTTTAATTTTTTTTTAATAATGCTGCACTTAAAAAAACCTATACCCATATCCATTTACATGTACTGGTAATATCCAACAGATCGATTTCCTTCGGTTAATTTATAAGTTTCTATCTTGTATATGGCTGGTACGGATTAGATTAGCTTAAACACCAAGCAGTGAGGTGCAGTGCACAGATCCTGACTTGGTGGCTTTATAAGAGGATTGGAGCAAAAGTTGGTGCACACTTCCCAGTGCTTGTATGGATTTCGCAAAAGGAATAGATGCTTTCGAAACGAAAGAAAGTGATGGTTTTGTGGAGCTATTTATGAAAAGCGGTACGAGATTATCGCAGTTTTTGGATTGCCCAATTTAAGCGAAAGTGAAATGAAAAACTTGTGATGAAACATAAAGTGACTTAAAGAATGCAAAAAAAAAAAATGCTTTAAACCTTATTAAAAAAAGCAATTAAAAACCGACAAATTTTATAAAACGACATTTTCGGAGAGTTGTCGAATCTAATAGTTCCTAAAGGCAATGTTACTTTACTTTTATTATCTATTTACTGATAGAGGCTTTTCATATAAAAAAGGTATATCAGGTTGGTTTCACACTTGTATAATTTTGACGACTTACGGAACTATCGGCACGAACACGACGCCGGCGAGTGTCATCGCCAAGGGGGAACAGCTGTTCGGCCAACATGTGAGTGTGTTGGTGGTGGGAAGGTCACAAACCTTATTGGAATGCCCATAGTTTTTGATTCGTGATCAGGACGAGCTTATAACTGTCATGCTGAATACTATAGCTTAATGTTTCTATTGAAAACAACCGTTTCACAAATACCCAACCATTTACCCCAGCCCAATCGAGTTTGGAGCTCTTTAAATGTCATTTGAACGAAATTAAAGCCTTGATTACTTACCTATTTTACCAGCCGACTGACCCATTGCTTATTCAAAATCACAAATGTGTGTTTCGCTTTCCGAAAGGCACAAGAAACAACAGCAACAAAAGCCACAACAACTAGGACACACACAACTTCTTTGGCATTGAATTTTCACGTGGGCGCAGCCCTCGGAAACTCTCGCTGTTGAGTACTCCGTAAATCGATCATGTGCTATTCGTGGGCTAGCTCACTTCCGGAATCATAGGCGTTAATTGCGATGCAATTTAAAGCTTTGTTTAATTGTTATTCGGATGGAGCTGCCGGTTGCAAGGGCTTTTTTCAGTGTGACCGCGGGGCCGTTAAAACGGAACGGCAAAAAATACCACTGGGCTTAGAAGAATTAACCGCCCAATAAATTTAAAAATAACGTTAAAACTAATTTTAAAATATAAACAGATCATAAAGTCATTAATTAATAAGTACCCGCCTTCACCGAATATCTGTATAGCAAAGCATTTAAGCCAAGTATTATATCGTGGGGATTGAAACCAAAGATTTAACTAAAACATTTTAATCAATAGCAACATATTTAGTTTTGTACAATTTTTCTATTGTATAACATTGATATTATTTTTATTTTTGACTTAAAAATATATTTATGGGGCAATCACTGGATACGAAAAGCCGTGACTTTAGACGATAGTTTTTCAAGCTGAACTTCCGTCCACGCAGAAATATACCAAAGCGATACTTCCATGATTCCGCGGTATTTTACATTCACCCCTGCAACGGTCACACTCCACGCAACCTCTGCCAAAAAGAACTACGCGAAAAATATGCCATAAAAAGCGAGAATCGTGCGTGTTTATTTAGCTTTCGCGGATAAAGAAGTGCGCAGCAGCAGCGGGCCGATCAGAGCCCCAGACACAAACCACTTCCGCGGCCAAGGACACTGAGAAAACCGGCGGGAAGATGGCGGATCCGCTCAGCCTGCTACGGCAGTACAACATAAACAAAAAGGAGATTGTCGAGCGCGACAGCCAGATCATCTTCGGCGAATTCTCCTGGCCGAAGAGCGTGAAGACCAACTATCTCAAATATGGGTAAGTAGGGCGAGAATGATTCCCGCCATTACCAGAAGGAGTATCCACTTTCTCTTTCTATGTTTTCCACTGCAGCTCCGGCAAGAAGGGCGCTCCACGTGAGTACTACACGCTGGAGTGCCTGCTGTACCTGCTCAAGAATGTGATGCTGCAGCACTCCGTGTATGTGCGCCAGTGTGCCGCTGAGGACATACCCGCCGTGAATCGACCGGATCGTAAGGAACTGTTGGCCTACCTCAATGGCGAGACGCCGACCTGTGCCAGCATCGACAAGAGTGCTCCGCTGGAGATCCCCACCCAGGTGAAGCGGGCCGCCGAGGGCGAACCATCCAGCGTGGAGGTGGCCGCCAAGAAGGCCCGCTTTGAGGAGACACAGGTGCAGAAGGTGCGCGAGCAACTGGCCGCCCGCTGGGATGTCAACCAGAAGGAGACCGCCGTCAACATGGACAACATCAAGTCGCTGTCCGAGACGATGTCCGTGGAGAAGATCGCCGCCATCAAGCCAAGCGTCTGGCCAACAAGCGAACGACCATCAAAAGAACGGACAATGACGAGACCATGGGCACGGACCTGCGTGCCATCCTGGACTACGATGTGGATTCCACTAAGGACATCATTAGCAGAGAGCGGCAGTGGCGCACGAGAACGTCTATACTACAGAGCACGGGCAAGATCTTTGCCAAGAACATCTTCGCCATGCTGCAGGGCATCAAGGCGCGCGAGGAGGGACGCAATCGGCCGCTGGCGCCAATCCCATCAAGATGCCAGAACCGGCGAGAATAGCCAAGCCGCAGCCGCAGCTCTCGCAGTACAATCGTTACGATCAGGAGCGATTCAATCGGCAAAAGGAGGAGACCGAGGGCTTCAAGATCGACACGCTCGGAACGTACCACGGCATGTCGCTGAAATCCGTGACGGAGGGCTCGCTGGCACAGCGTAAGGCGCAGGCGAACAATCTGCCGGGGACACCAGGGGGAATGCCAGGAGCGCCTGCCGGCCGACCCAAGGAGCTGCTGCCCACGGCCCAAGCCCGGCAACTGCCCGCCAACGGACCATCGAAGCGACCCTCACGGACCCCCATCATAATCATACCGTCTGCCAACACAAGCCTCATCACCATGCTCAACGTGAAGGACATCCTGCAGGAGTTGCGCTTCATGTCCACCTCCGAGAAAAAACTTCAGGGCTGCCAGCGCGACAGCGAAGTGCTGTTACAGGTGCGAATTTAGCTGACTAACTCACTTGCAAGTGTTTTGAGTACCAGCAGCTGTTCTTTGTTAAAATAACCAAAAAATTTAAAAGCTGATTTAAATTCTAAGAAAATACCTACTTTTTTCCACAATGATGCTAATTTTTGTCCATTTATAATACCCAATAGCGAAAACGGAACAATCAGACTGTGTCTTACCGGGTGATAGACAATCCTATTAAGCTCTCGCAACAGGATTGGCAGAGGGTGGTGGCCGTCTTCGTAATGGGACCACAGTGGCAGTTTAAGGGCTGGCCCTGGGACGGAAATCCCGTCGAGATATTTTCAAAGAGTCAGTAAATCCATCACCTACTCTTGAAGTGTTTTTTAAGTTCGTTTGTTACCCCATTGCAGTTTGCGCCTTTCACTTGTGCTTTAGCGAGCTGAAATTGGACTCCAATGTGGAGCGTTGGTCTGTGACACTGCTGCGACTCTCCCAAAACAAGCGGCATCTGGATCGGGCAGTGCTCAGCAAATTCTGGGAAACTTTGGACAAGTAAGTGCTTCTATTGTTACCACCTTCATTTCTTTTGAAATGTATAGTATTAGCTTCCATTTGTTTCATTTCAAACTTTAAGTACTCCAATCTTAAGATGTCTCAACACAGTATCGATTATAATTGTGTATTTCCCTCAATTTTTCAGATACATGGCCAAATACAAGCCCGATCTGAGGTTTTAGCCCTAATCGCACCCTTTGAACTTCCTGCTGAAGAATCTTTATTGCAATGACGCCACCTGCACAGTCCCCAAAACCACTCCGGATAAATTACGATTACTGTTTAAAATCTGTAACTTTGCAATAAGCAACTCAAATGTTACAATTCCCGCCCAGCTTGAGTAGGAAAGACCAAGCCGAACCAGGGTCTGTGGCCCGTCCACGTTCCCAAAATACCCTGTCCAGGGCGCTCTCTCGCTTTTGGCAGCCGCACTAAATGAAAAACCCCAGGCCAGCGATGGTGCAACAGTTCGTCGTTCGACTTGTACAATGTAAACTATAAAAAAAACGGATCAGAAACCGAGTAATTTGTATTTTTAGTGATAATAAACAGTTACAAGCCATTTTGTTTCGGTTATGCAACCACGAGGTTAACATAATTGGCATTTATTTGGCTGCAATCGAAGATAATTGAGCTTTTTTAAGGGAAAACCGAGAAAATGCCTCCATTTTTTCAGAGTTCGTAGTCAGACGATAAGGTTTTCCATCCCGCCCTCCACCGAAGCCATAAAGCAAGGCGAAATCGTAGTTAGATTCCATTATCTCTGTTTATATTGCAAAATGTTAGTGTACAATCGTCATGTTGGTCATTAACTCTACTCTTTACTATAAGTTAGCTGATTAAATAAAAAATACTATTTCTCGGCCAGCGAAGCATGGACTACTTGGGGCCAATAACGGGGAACCTCAGGAGGAGTTGCGATTGCAGAACTGTTTCTTGGCCGCCTTCAGAGTGTTTTCCATCAGCATTGCCACCGTCATGGGACCCACGCCGCCGGGTACCGGGTGATGTAGCCGGCAACCTGGCGAACTATTAAGGGAAAGAAGATTAAAGCATGACAATTTAAAGGGTTACGCCCCACTCACCTTCGAAGTCCACGTCTCCAACGAGCTTAAACTTGCCAGTCGTTTCGTCCTTGATGCGATTGATGCCCACATCGATGACACAGGCTCCGGGCTTCACCATGTCCTTGGTGATCAGCCCGGCTTGCCCACAGCCACCACAATGATGTCCGCCTGCCGGCAATGGCGGGCCAACTCTTTGGCCGGCGTGTACCTGTGGCAGATGGTCACCGTGGCATCCAGTGCCTTGGTGGCATACTTCCCATCCGCGTGCAGGAGGATGGCCATTGGCAGACTGACGTTCTTGGATCGCCCCACCACCACGGCATTGCGGCCATGGGTTCGATATTCAGATGCTCCAGCAGCCGCTTGACGCCCAGCGGCGTGGCCGGAACGATGCCGTCCATGTCCAGGGCCAAACGTCCCATATTAAGCTCATTAAAGCCATCACATCCTTGTCCACATCCACGGCATTGCAGATGGTGCGTTCGTTGATGTGCTCCGGAACCGGAGCTGCACCAGCACTCCGGTCACCCCTGATCCTTGTTCAGGTCGTCAATCACCTGGAGGAGCTCCTCCTGCGTAGTGGAGGCGGCACCTTTTCGTCTCACTGGAGATGCCCACCTCCCGGCAGGCGATCATCTTGTTGGCCACGTACTTCTCGCTGGCCGGATCCTCGCCCACAATCACGGCCGTGAGATGGGGAACCGGATACCCAGCAGCCACCAACTCCTTCAGCTCCTGCCCCAACTGAGTGCGGATCTCCTGAGCAATGCCCTTGCCATCGATGATTTGAGCCATGTTGCTGCAATCAAAAAACATTTTTGAACTTTATATTTAGAGATCAACATTCTAATTATTTCCTTATCACTGAAAAAATGAGTCGTAAAGATCCATAGACTTATTCCCAAAAGTGTTTAATAACTTTCTATTTTATCTTTAAATATTTAACATTTAATTTTTTTAATAGCTTACTCTCCCACACAAACACGAAATGAATAGAAGACAACAAATTATTATTAACAGAATACGACTTGGACACACCAAGTTCACCAATGCGCATTACATTGATAAAAACCTTTCCTCTATCTGCCCCCTGTGCAACATCAGCCCAATAACCCTAACCCATATTATTACCTCATGCCCCGCCCTTACTCTCCAAAGAACTGCATCGTTTAACTCCCAAAACCCTTTCCACATTATATCAAATCCTACATTAATCAATACCAGAAAATCTACTCTTCTTAATAATTCGAACATATATAAGATATAATAATGTAAAATATAATCATCACTACTAAATTACCACAAGCGACTTAAGGCTTTGTGCTATAGCTCTAGAATAAACCACTGTTAGCTTAAAGTTTTAACTATAATTAGCATTAGATAATAAAAAAATAATAGCTTACTTTTTTATTTTACTGCATAGTTATTCCATTATAATAAAAAAATCTAAACGAAAATGTAGATAGACTATAAAAACTGTTGCTCTTACTATTTATCGGATTGATTTATTTTAAGATATTAGACTTGTTTTAATTCAGAACAATATTCCATATTCTAAAAAACTACATTTTGGGCCAAAAGTAGTTTTGCAATCTTAGCGTATGCAAGGTCATAAACCGGGAATTTCGCGAATTGATAAGGCCCGGCGGTGAATTCCCGCCTGTCAATGCGGTTGCGCTGCAGTATTCCCCTAGATCGCATATATACCATATGTACCGTGTGATTCACCCACTTGGCAAACAAGTGGAGTGCGGGCGGTTGTGCCAAATGTTCTTTGTGATTCCCCGTTCTCAGAATGTACTTTTACGACTGCATTCTGTATTATCGGTGGAGAAAAACATTTTTATTCATGATCTCATGCAGGGCCCTACGGTTATTGTAGTTCTTCAAGGAAAATATTTTACATTGCTCGCCGAATTATTTAAATTTTCAAATTCAATGGAACAGAAATATAGCACGATTATTATATTCATACAATGTATCAGATTTATGGTTTATAATCTGGAATCAATAACATTCCAGGAAACCCGCAACACGTTTTTTTACCCATTAATTCAGTGTTCCATAAGTATTCTATATTCCAGGAAACTTGCAACACGTTTTCCTTCCCATAATTCAGTGTTCCATAAGGCGCGCTTTTTATGATAAGTAGTTATAAAACTAAGGTACTTTATTGATCAACATATTCAATACAAAATCAAGCATAATCTTTACTGAGAGGGGATGGGTTGTACATGGGGAGGAGTAACCTAACGTAAATCTCGTTCCAGCAGGGCGTACGCCTGGGGATCGATTGTCTGCAGGGCGCGAGTGAATGTTGTAAGCTCCACACTGTCGCCGTTGTCCTTGATGTATTGCAACAAGCCGCCGGCATCCAGCCACATAAAGGCGAACTGTTCTAGATGGGATTGGCGGGCCAGCTGCTTCCACTTTGGTGGGCATCGGGCCCATTTCCGTAGGGTTTGTTCAGGAGTGAACAGAGCTGGTCACAGATGGATTTGTTATTGAGCAGCACCTGCAGTTTGTTCCGCGGGTCAACCTCCATTTCGATGTCTCCCTTGGTTTCTTCCTCTCGTCTCCGTCGACCACTGCTCAAATCCAACTCGCGGAGTCCTCACTTCTGTTTTGATGTCCATCTCCTCGGACTTGATCTCCAGCTGCCCGGCATCACTGCTTTCGTCCGAGGATGAATCTATCTCCTCTTTGACTTTGCGTGGAATCCAGGTCATGGCCAGTTCAGCCTTCTCCGGATACACCTTCTCCAGCAGCTGAACCACCCGCTCATTGGCCTTGTGTCTGGCCAATTCCAAGGGAGTGTAACCAGCGGCATTTCGCGCCTGCAGGATGTCGGTGAGGTTTTGATTCTGGGCATCCAAGATCAGCACCAGCAACTCCACACTTTGCTCCAGAACGGCCATGTGAGGGCATTATTTCCATCCATTGTGTTGGCCACGCTAATCGAACTCCTATCGTGGCTGATCAGTTTCTTGGCCACATCGTACTTGTTCTGCTGATTGCCATGTGCAAGGGTGTTAGCCCATCGTCGTTCTTCAGCGAAAGATCCAATTCCTCAATGAGAGAACTAATTGGGGGCGTTCCTTTCAGGAAACTCTCCACGCAGTTTAGGTTCTCCTCCTTGACGGCCAAATGCAATGCGGTGTTTCCGGCATGATTCTGTTGATTCGGACTGCAGCCCAGCCCCAACAGAGGGCGAATGTAGTGGGGCCGATCCTGCTGGCAGGCCACATGCAGCGCACTGTCGCCGTCCGCATTCAATGCGCTGTTGGCCAGCTCTCTGAGCTTGAAGAAATTCAACACCTGTATCGTCTTAAAGGCCAACTTCAGGTTGTCCTTTTTGTAGCTGATCACTTCGTGCAGCAACGTATCATTGTTCTCGTTCTTCAGGGCGTGATCTGTGAACAACTCCTCCACCTGTCGGCGCGAGGACTCCGACGGCGTTCGGCGTTCCTGATCGAAGATCTTGAATATATCACTCAAGTACTTTGTAGTGAGATTTCGGCTCGATGCCACTTCTGATCGCCCATGGCCATCGTTTTGCAACTCGCCCATGTCCAGCTGACAGATTTCTCCAGATCGTTGGAGTTGTTTTCAATAAGTTTGCGGAAGTTTTCGGAATTTATTAAATCATCGAGATGCATTTCGCGACCAAACTCCTGACTTATTGTCTGATCATGTTGCGAAAAGTTGGGCAAGCCGTTCAGAGGCTGAGCCATGGCCAGGGTTTTGGGCAGATCCAGGGAATTGTTGGAGCTAACATTGCCCGAACTGCTGCTGTTGGCCGAGGAGCAGGTGCGACGGCGTTTCCTGGACACGATAGCGTCCCGCGGCTTGTAGCGAAAGGGCAGCGGCGGGAAGGATCGCTCGTCGTCGGAGGGACGAATCAACTCTATGGACACGTTCACCTCGCGGTCGACGTCCTTATCTTTGTACGCAGGCGTCTGGCACACAATGGCATATTGGTGGTGAACATCCGATTCCCGGAACTTGGCATACGCCTCCCACACGGTTTCTCCATCCTCATCCTCCTCGAAAAACCGCACCTTTATGTTCTTCTTGCTGACCTTCTCCACTAGCAGGATGAGCTCGTCGTTACCCATCACTCCGCCCGTGGGCTTGCTCAGCCGGACGATTCGCAGATCTCCGGTTTGGGCCGACTTTCGGTTATTGATCGCATTACTGTACACCGGCGGAGCAAGTTGAACCCAAGCGCCATTGTCCTCGATCTTGAAGGCCTCGAAGCAGAGGCGCACCTAAAATTGGTGCGGAATAATTAGTCAGTATGTCAGTTGTAGCTTAGTATGTGTTTAGAAACTTGCTTTTCCTTGAGTGAATTGTTTTGTACATTGCTCACCTATGTTCGCATTTTAATTATCAATTTAAGTGCTTTCAAATGACTGTGTTTTAGTTTTTGAAAATTACAAACGAATCATGTAACCAAAACAAGTAATTAAATATTTTAGAGACTGCTAAGATAAATAGATTAAAAGGTAGCAAATCGAACCTATTTTCAAATGAACTAAGCACTCTCGAGTGAGCAATTAAACAAGTGAATAATGTGCAAACATATTTACTCAACTTTAGCAAGCAACTCGGTTTTGTTTACATACCTGGTTCAGGTTCATGTCCTTGGCTTCCCGCTCCGTCTCCTGGTGCAGCTCCTGCAGCTGCTTGGTGGACAGCTCGCGGCGGTTCATCTGGAAGACCAGGCGATCCTGCTTCTTCTTGCAGAGCTCCTCAATATGTACTTCTTGGCGGTGTGTATGATGCCCATGTTGATGAACTGGGCCACATAGCCGCGATCCTTGGATACGTGCAGATCGTGCGGATCGCACACATCGCGCTCATCCTTGCGCACGACCAGCTGATGGGAATGGGGGCTGTCCAGGTTGGTTTGGAACAGACTGCACCGGATGACGGCGGGTCCATCGTAGTTGCACAGTGTGACCTCTGGAAGGTTTTCGGCGTCCTCTTCGAATTGGCCCCATTGAGGGATCCGTGTGTGCCGTGCATCTCGCTCTTGTACCGAAACCGGAACTTCTCCACCGGTTGCTCCACGATCTTTAGCTGCGGCACGTGTTTGCTGTCGCCGCCAGATGCCAGGCCGTTCTGATGGTAGCCAAAGGGCTGGCCCGGAGGCACTGCAGCCGGCGGGCCGGACACATAGTACTGATGATCCATGTACATGTTGCCAAACTGGTGGCATTTGCAACGCCAACGCCAGCGGAATTTAGCAAATTACTCGCGTCCAATTGGCAGAGGGCGCCGTTGTTCAACAGCTGATGCTGGTATGGTGAGTTCGCCAACGGCGGCTGGTGTGGTGATTGGCGGCTGGCAAGTTGAGGTTGGCAAAATCCGTTTGCAGAGCCATCGTTTCCGGGGAGTGGGCGGGCGAAAGGGACTGGGTGGTCGAGTTGGGGGAGTTGCCGCTGCTATATCCACTGGTGCTGGATGCATCGTTAAGAAACAGCACGTTCTTCCCCTTGTCCAGGTCGTAGTACTGATTCATGGTCGTATTCCTTGTAACTCTAGTTTCTATGTGTATTTCTGTTAATTGCGTCTTAACAACTCAAAACTGAACCGCTGCCTTCGCCGAGCGAAACACTAATGATCGAAACGAGCTTCGTCGATCCGATTGCCTCTGCTGACCATTCGTTTTAGGTACTTCCCCGATGTCGGCGGGAAGGGAAATTATCTGCTGGGGCCACGTCGCGATGACTCACGGGTTTTTCAGGCACACCAATCACTCCGTGTGATTTTTCGATCGCTATAGTATATATATGTACGATTCTGGATTCGCGAGTCTTGTTTACACAGCGAAATCACACACTATATGTATATGTATCGTTATTCCAGCGAACCGATACATATATGTTTGTGAATGTGTGGAATGGCAGCGCAGCGAATCGGATAACTTTAGTGCCCCACTGCTCGAACGAAAATGACCGTAGCACTGGGCGAAAACAAGAATAATGCTCGCGAGTCGCGGGCAAAACGCTCGCTGTCTGATAACAGGTTTAAGCTAATCTGCGCCGAGCTTTCGGGTCAGCTTTTCACGGCAAGTAGGATCCACGTTATTAATTTGAATTTGTCAATTCAACACACTGCACGCACACAAGTGGGTAAATAAAAGAAACAAGCGCTGCCACGGCAGAAAATTGAGTCATGTGGCAACGCCCCGATCAGCTGTTGCGCGCACTGGGGTGAGCGCGTGAGTGGATTTTCGATTTTATTTCACGCGTGACTCTTAGTTCTTATATTTATATCTTAAAATATATGTATGATAAATATGTATATTTTTTGTTTTTTTCATGAAGTTTAAATAGAAATATGTGCCACATTTTTATAAGTGTATTATTAAAGTTGCCAACAATTTAATAAGAAAAATGCAATAAAAACCATTAAAACGAAAAAGGTTTAAAGTAAATGGAAGATTAAGATTTTCAAGAATAATTAACAGAGCTTAAAGTTTTATGAATGCTTTATAGATGCAACCAAATAAGGTTGGCCTACGTCACGCACGCATCTCTAGCACGTGTTTTGTTTTTATTTTTCGTTTGATATCACGTTTTATTCCCGATCGAATTCACTTTCCCATAAACATACGCACCTGCAGAATGACTTAGCGGAATAATTCCGGGAAGCCAGGACCGCAATGGATCCTAGAGTACGACGCAACATTTTGGGATATTATTACGCCACTGAGATTTGTATCTTAAAACACTTATGCGAAATGCTAAAAACGAGGAGCATGCGCTAAATTGTGATAGTTCCATTGCCACTGGACACACACACCTCAGAAACAGTCAACCTGTTGCCGGGCTGCAATTTCTATATAGATTTTCGATCCGTATGCACTTTTTCGATGCCGGCAAATCAACCACAACCTGACCCCTTCCAATTCGAGTTGTTCTCTTCCTCTTGTTGCCATGCCAAGGTATTCCAACTGCATGAGTGTGTGTGTCAGTGCTTTTTCACCTTATCAGTCGGCGATGAGTTTTGTTTATTTTGATAATAAATTAGCAGGGAAAACATAAACAAATCGGGGTCCTGACTTTCCAAGCTGCTGTCTGGGTCTTGTGTTATTTATAGAAAGCTATAAAATGTGTTCTATATTCAGCGGTTTTTTTTTTTACCGAAGAAAACTAGTTTTGTTGACTTGATTAGGAAAAAACGTGTCTACGAAGGCCTATTAAAGTTCTTCAAAGGTCACATTTCTCTAAGAAAAATCTAATTTTGGTCTAGGTTTAGGTATTTTTCACTTGCATTTACCTTTTTGTGACTTTCTTTTGATTGGCTGGAGGTAATTTTCCTGCTGGAAAATTGGAACTGCACTGATTGCCGGACACAAATGGACTGTATGGCGTAGAACCGATCTCTTTATTAGCCCCCGCACGTGGATTTTTCGTTTATTTTTTGGATAAAAGCTTTTTGCTCAAGCGCACTGAATGGCGCGAGCGAGAGAGCGGGACTTAGAAGTTTCAGCTGTTTCGTGTGATAACACTTACCGTTAAAAGTTTTCCTATAGATCCATGGATTTTAAAACTGGGAATTCAGTGAGTTAAGATACATCCGTATCCATATTAGTTTTAGTTTTTTAAGGATTGCTCAAATTGTATAAAAATACGGTCTAAATAACTTCTGTCTCGAGAAAAAAATTTTTTTTAAATCGATAAGTTTGAAAAATTATTTTATTAATTTTAAATATAAAAATAAAAAGACTATTGGCATAATCAATTATTATCGGCTAGCCATTTAGGTTGAGGATTTTTGTTGCCTTCAATCTCAGACACGAGTTATTTTCCAATAGATTGTTTTTCTCCGTCGAGACGGATGACGAAATCTGATTTCCTATTACTGCACTCGGAGATTGAAAGATGAATTGAGATTCGGTTAGCCGGTGACGTCAATTTGCTTCCCAGGGGGCCATCCAACGTCTCCCACTGATAAGCCTTTAGATGTGGCCCCCTGACCACCCATTACCTATGCCAGAAGTTATAGAACTTATGCACAATCGCCTGGTAACTGGTGATTTTTGTTTTTAGCCGTAGGAAAAATAATGCAGGCGTCATTATGAATGTTGTTCGCGGACGAAGATTGCGCTCGTTTTGGGTTGAAAAACATGTTTTTTCGAAAAGAGATAACCCGAGGAAAGTGCGAGTGGGCTGCTCAATGGGAACGTTGAATCATTAGCATGCATTTGCATCCTTATTTTGATTGTGAATGTGATTTTTAACTTCAAAATTATTTCGCCTTTTTCTATACAAATTTTACTGGTATTTTTATTTTATTTATTTCTGGGTTGCTTCTGAATATATTGATTTGGTGATTAGAGGTATTTATGTAAAAAGTATCTTAGACAGATATATAATTAATAGATTAATGGTTTAAGCATTTCCTAATCGATAAATTTTAATACAGTATTTTTGAAGAACTCACCTAGTGAAACGCATTTTGAGAAAGTTGAAATGATTTTAATCTCTATAAACGTTTTATTTGTTAAATATATGTTTTAATTAGAGCGTTACGCTTTTGCACTGATACACTTTGAGAATTTAAAATTTACTTTAGTTCTTTATTTGAAGACTTTTAATTGTAGCACTTGCATTGGCACTTGTCACGTTTAAATATTTAAAAGCGGCGGGCTGCTTCCCTTTTTATGCTAGTAAAACTGGTATTTTTTAGGGCCTTTTGAGAAATGATCTCGAAAATTCGAAGTTGATTTCGATATGTATAGGGTAGCATGTTGTTGGTTTTCTTTAGATGACATGCAGAAACAATACTAATTGAGGGATATTTATGTTTTATTAGCTCACGAAAAATTATTAAAATTTACAATTTTATATTTAAGAAACAATAGCTATAAAAAACTCATTTTTAAATATAACGCCCGTCTTTTAAGTTCACTAGAAAACGGTAAAAGTTACGCTGCAACCTTTTTTGGTACATTTTGGCCCACGCTGCCTGGTCACACTACAGCGAAAAGGAAAACAAAAGTCGCAGAATAAAAATCAGCATTGAATTTGTACACAATTCCTTTGCATAATTACATCCCACCCAGCCGAATATCTGATGCACACAGACTGGCGATGAAGCCCCAGACAAAGCGGAAGTCCTTCCCCTTCAATGCCCCGCCGCCGGGCGGAATAATGGAGTTCGGATTCGGGAGCTGCAGCGGGTTTGGGAATCCGACGGAGAACGACCTGGTCAAGTGGCAGCATAAGCGGAAATCGGAGCTGCAGGCGACGGCAGTGCTGTAGGCTGCATCCCCAGGATAACAGCCTGATCGTAATCTAACTACTTCCCTCATTTTTCAGACCGCCCAAGATGCTTATAACCGAGGAAGAATCACCCAGCACTTCAGCGGACTGTCGCTGGACCCCAAGATCAATGTGTCCGCGTCAGCCGTCGTTAGCAACAACAACAGCGTGGCCAGCGTCACGGGCGGACTGGCCACGGATGATATACCGTCCACCAGCACCGGGAAGACGCACCACCCCAATCCCGCCTACCAAATGGCGGCCATGGAATTGGAGCAGAAGCTGCGCAACGCCAATCGCATTGTGATCTGCGAGGGCCTCAAGCCGGGATCGGGACCCGGATCTGCACCACCTGTAATACCACCGGAGTGGCTGATAAAAACCATACCGCGTCCCTGCACCGCCTTGGTGCCCTGGCAGCCGTCGCCCCTACAGATCCCAATGCCGAGTGCCAAGATGGGGGCACCGCAAATTGTGGCCCCCATGGCCGGAGCACCGGCTGTCCAGGAGCTGGACGACTACGATGACGATCTGGAGTTCTTTGAGAACAACAACACGTGCAGTGTGAACCTAAACAAGTCTGAGCAAGAGCATATGGACGAGGACCTGTAGCAAAAGCCATATCCATATATTATCCTAAAGCATAAGCATAAAAGTGTAGATTTGTATGTCCGTATCCGTAAGAACACAGTTGATAGCATGCAAGAATACTCCCCTCCTTATTTTGTATTACTATTGAAAATAGATAGATGTATGTGATTTAATCCCAATGCTCTGGAATGTTCCGGAATGTTCGTTAATTGAAACCAATGGGCCCAAGAAGTAAGAGGAACAACAGCGCGCACGTGAAACTAAAATGTGGCTCGAAAAAAGAAACAATTTCTTAAATTTTTTCGTTTAAATTAATTTTTAAATCATATTTATGATTATATGTTGATTAATATGGTCTTTCCCTTGTGCTCTTTATGTTCTGCATCACTAAAAGAATATTTTTACCAGATATAATGTAAATACAAATAAAGCCGATGAACACAAATATTTAAGGGTTTTTTATTGAAAATAAGAGCGACTTCCAAAAAAAAGGCTATTTTTTTAAGTATTTTCATCCAACTCTTGGTTTTGCCCTTCGGGTACAATTAACTGTAGCAATTATATATAAAGTCTGAAAAACCTTGTTCATTTACATTTTCTGAATAACTACATTTTACGAAATTTAAGATAATAATTTAATTTAAACATATATGAATATATTGCATTATTACTATCTTTTGCTTCCGAAATATGTGATTATTTTTAACATACTACCCGTCCTACAGAATTGGTTATGTTTTACAATATTTTTGGTTTATTTTTTATTAAATAGCATTGGAATTAAGACATAGGCGCGTTCCCCAAAACCAAGTGATCACCGAACAGTAAACAGTGATCAAGCCCAAATCCCAAGTAATCGTTTTTTAGTATTTTTGTGTTTAACGTAACCAACGTAACCCGTAAGTGTCAGTAAAAATGCGAGATAGAAGATTTCTGTTCTTGCTCTCCGAAAGGAGAGAGCGTGAGCGGAGAGAGCAGCCGGGAAAGAGATGAAAATCATCGATGTTGGCAAACATCGATTACCGATGCTTTGAAAACATCGATGTTTCCCACCTCTATCCGGCTGCGGTCATACTGAAAAAAATTGTGAAAAGGGTCGGATCGCAGCGCTGCGGACCGGACTCCGGAGAATTTTCAGCGACTCGCGTACGGAAAAAGTTCGAGTACGTCCGAGAGTGATTCGCCCAAAAGGCCATTGAAATTAGTGATAATTTGGTAATTTCTTCGTTTTAACAATTTGTGTGAGTGACTTTTCGTCACCGTAAGTGGAGTGCGTGCCTGCTTGATGCCCTGCCCCCCTTTAGACAGCCAAACGTATTAATTATAATTAAAATTTACTACATGGCGCAAGCGAAAAGATTGTAAGTCGGGGAACGAGAAGCCGAATCAGAACAAAAGCAGGGCGAAAGGCAGAGCCACCAGAGACACCACCAAAGGCACAGAAATCGCATCCGCGGCGGGCCGGCGGAAATCTGACAAAAACTAGATACGAGGCGAAGTGCAAATTTAGAATTCTTATTACAAGTTCATGGGAAAGTGGCGAATATACGTGGAGCGTGATAAGTGAGCGTTTTTTTGTGTGTTGAATGGCAAAACATCACGTTGACCGATGCACGAAAGAGCGAGCCAGAGCATCCCGAGTACGCATCGCCGAACTCACCACGCTCGTTTGTTTTTCCGCTCTCTGCGGTTCGGTTCGGTTTGGTACGGTTTGGTACTCCCCCATCCCCACCCCCACCACTCCGTGGGCAGTGGCGTAGCCGCGGGGCACACAGCGGCACACGTGGTGGGGGGCTCCGGCTGTGCCCCCTTGCTCAGGCGAGCCTCTGTACTTGCCGCGTGGTGAGTTTGCCGGCTGGGGCTCTGCTTTGCTTCTGGCTGGTGGGTTTCTTGGGCTCCAATGCTCCCAGTTCCCTTTCGCACGCTCATTCGTCGGCCAACCGTGTGTGAGTGCGCTGCTCTGCGTCGCGTGTCGGTCCGTTTGTGTGTGGGTGTGTGTGCGTGCGCTGGCCGTTCAATTTGTGTGAAGTAATAAGCGTAATTAGTTTGTTGGTGCGGCGACTGCAAACTGCTTGAAAAACGCCACTAAACGTCTGACGCATCGTCTTCATCTCCGATTTTCCGTGATTTTCCAGTTGAACCTGGCCAAAAAGAGTCCGTCGAGTGGAACCGAAACGAGCGGCAACAATAAAAAATAGGAAAAAAAAATAGGAGGCAGCGATGTCCACCGCCGTTGAAACGGGGTCGTCGCCTGCCAAGAGCAACAGCAACAACAACAGCAGCGGCGGCAACAACAGCGGCAACAACGGCAATCCCAGTCCAAATGCAAAAGGCGTGCAGCGGCGTCAACTGGTGAGTACTTCCCCCCTGCGCCTCCCTTTTCACCCCCTATCAATAACCGATAAAGCCACGACAACCTACGGTGGTGCCTCCCAAAGTTGCATTTCCTGTACGTTGTCGGTCAGTGTGGTGAACTGTGAAAGTCAATTGTTAACCTCACGGTGAACTATTAAAATCGAAAATGGTGTTTATTATTATTACCCGAAATTCTATAATTCAAGTTGTCAAACACTATTTCCTCTTGCCAGATGTTCAAGTTTTGGAAGTCTTACTGTCATTTTTTCACCCGTATAATAGTCAAGTGTTTGTAAAGATTACTTAACTTTACTTACTTTATTTTAATAAGATGAGTTCAGCAATTAACATAAATAACGTTTAAACTGAAGTGTATCTGATATATTCTAAACCAAAACATTGTCAACTCATAAATGACAAAAGTCATGAAGACGCCTAAACGGGTCTTATAATGAGGTACCCCCCGATGGGTGGTTCGCCATACGGAAGTTCACCTGTTACCGTGATTGATAAGCCCGCCGAGCCCCAATAAGTAGATGATCAGCAAAGAGTGCGAGCAAGAGATAGCAAATCGGTTGTGGAAGCAAACGTAAAACTCATCATTAATCGGTGGAAATAAAATGCATGCTCACCCAATTGGCCCGCCCCCACCACCGCCACCCCGCCCTCATCTCTTAACTTTTTGTTTTGTATTTTCGCCTTTTCCATTTTCCTTTGCGCCCGTTGAGCATTGGGGCTCAACTGAGGCCGCATGACCGAAAGCAATGAGCTTTATTTGCCATATTCGCTGTTTGTTATTCTCTTCTTCTCGCTATTATTGCCATTGTTGTTGTTTGACTCGCATTTCGTTTTCAATTTGCCATTGGGGTATGCGTCCGTGTGTGTGTGTGTGTGTGTGTCTGTTGGGGTGCTGGTGGGTTTGTGTGTGGTGTGTTTCTGCTTCGGTTTCTATTCCATATCGTAGATAACAGGGCATTGTTGCGTTGTTGTTGCCCAACATATTTACATAGGCAGGGGAGGGGAGGGGGAGCGAGACGGGAGTAGTGCTCACGTTGACACTGCTATACACTGAGAGAAATATATTGAAACACATTCTATTTTGAGTTGGCAATGAAAGAGGAGAGTTTAAATTGACAGCCTACTTATTTTATCTTAAAACTTAAAAATATATTTATGACCCACGAAAAAATCTTGTGCAGCAGTGGAGTTTAACCCGGATTTTTGTTAGCCAAGGTGGAAGTTTAGCAAATTTAGTTGTATTATTATACACATCTCAAAAGAGTTATCTTTCGACTCCCTTTTCGATTACATGAATTTTTTTCCGTGTGGAAAAGTGATACGTGGGCGTGGGTGACGGGTAGGGGTAGGGGGTTTCGCTTCAAGGGGGTGCCTCACTGATTTCATATCGTTGGCCAACTTGCAAAGTTCACGTCCACAGTTCCCTCGGCCTGCGCATTTGATTAGCACCAAAATTGGATCAGCAGCTGCTGGCGCTCGTCGCTTTCCGTTCGCTGCGAACGGTGACGAAGAATTCCCGCCCGGCACTTGTCGACGGAATCTCTCTTCCCTCTTGCCACACGCAATTATAGCCTTCAATTAAAGGGTATACATAAGTATGTGCCTTTTTTAGGAATAGTATCAGCCTACTTGGCCATTTTAATTGCCCGAAAGTGTAGGCATAATCTATTAGTCATGTTTCGCTCAAGATTCAGCTTGAATGGCAACCAATTACTTTAAAAGTCTGCCAAAAGCAAAGTTTATAAATAAATTATGCTGGCATGTGTGCTATGTTTGTTATATGACTTTTAGAACCCCTTTTAAACTTTTAAGACCTTGACCTTATAAAGAGCGACGTAATAAATCATAGCACTACCCTAACCTTGCGGTAAAGATTTAAGTTCGAGCGAAGGGTATCTAGTATTCGACTTATTTTTCCAAAAACACAATCTAAACCAAATACAAACATTGGATTATCTACCCGCATAAGATAGTAATTAAATCGGAGGGAGGGTATATGAGCAGTCGCTAATCTACTCAATTTCCCACCGACTTGTCTATCTATGCATATTGGAGTGGCTCATAGGCGGATGAGAGCGAACGCCCATTAAAAATGTATGGATTGCTGGATAGAGAGGTGGCAGGGAGAACTCTCATTATGGTGACTAATGCGGAGGAAAAAAGGGATCCAGCGGAAGGTAGAGCACTCGAGCACATGGCAGAGATAAGGGTACGCAATTAGCACCTTAAATAGAATACATTAGGGTACCCAGGTGGCCAACTGGTGGGCGGGGGCATGGGTGGTGTGGTTCGGCGAAGGGGCGAAGGTGACGCCACCACAACAAGAATACGAAACCACTTGACTGGATTTGGATTTTGGTTTTCAGTCTTACACGCAACTTTTTATGTGGTTACGGCTGTCGTTCTTGTTGTTGTGGCTTCCCTAAATCCGAAAATTATGGTATAATTGCTAGCTTAAACCACAATTTGGCAACATTACAAAGTAAAATATGTAACCGGAATTTTATTTTCGGAGTTAACCTGACGAATTCGTTTAAATTTAACTTTATTCACGTATCAAAAAGAACATGCGAGAAATGTAAATATCTTGTTGACCTGCTGCTGGCTTTTTTCTGTGTGCTTTTACGGCCGTTGTTGTTGTTGCCTCCTCTGCTACCTGCCGATTGTTAATCGGCCAGACACCAAAACAAGCTTTTCAGCCAAGAGAAAAAACAACAGTAACAACAGCCGCGCAGCAGCAACAGCGTGGCCACAATGAAAAGTCACTAAAAATCGTTTAGAACATGCCAAACAAGTTTCAACATTTCTGTGGGGCAAGCCGCTTAAAAAGGATATGCCACACACACACACTCACACACACAAACTAGTACAAACACAAACGAGGGCAGGCGCATCCATGTTTATAGATTTTTCGTTGCAAACACGCCGCTACCTACCGCCCCCCGCCCACTTCAAACCCCTCTCCGCCCCTTACCACCCCACTTGCAGCGGCCAAAATAAACTCAAAGCAGGAGACATGGCAATGCATTTCGTATTTTTTATTTCGTATTTCGTATTCCGTATTTGTTGTTTTTTCACCGCTCCTTGGAGCAACAGTCTCTCATCTCATCGCATCGCATCTCAGGGATACAAATCTCTCAATCTCTCAGATGCTTTTCTCTCTGCCGGCGATGCACCACCACCAGTGCAAAAATAACAAAGCATTCTCATGCAAAGTGCATGCGCACTGAAGGGAGACAGCAATAGCAAGGGGTGGGGAAGAGAGCGGAGCAGGTCGTGGTGGACAACTCGAATCCCGTTGCCCTTTGCCAACCAGTGTTGCCATCCCTTGGGGGGGTTGATTTAAAAAGCCTGCCTTACCAAAACTATAAATAGCCCAATAACATAAGGTTGCAAGACTTTGTTGCTGCTATTACTCAAAGTTTGAGGTGATAAGGCTTTATATAGAATTCTTTATTTTCCTATAAAGCAATATAATCTCATAGAATAGAATGTCATTTATATAAGTGATTAAACACAAAAATGTACATAAATAGGACCAACTACTTAACTATTGCTATGAAATCATATCTGTACGTTATTTTATAGACTTTTACGCATTTAAGCTTTGAAAAGCCAGATTGGCTGGGAACATGGTGAAACCACAAAACGGTTACCATGCGATAATTGCTTCGGAAACTGCCTTGAAACTTATGTATGAAATCCGAATCTAATGGAAAACGGAAAGCTTTTCGGCAAAACTCATCAACGGTTGTCAAAAATATGTGACCATTTTAAATCGACTCCAAGACAACTATATTATTTTTGAATATTTAAATATCCCCAAAATATACGTCTTATTTCGACTTTTCTATGGGAATCAAACGCACTAGCAGCGCGGTCGAAAACTTGTCGAGTGAAAAAAAGTGAGCTTAGCATGTTGCTTAAATAGATTTTTGCTTGGGAGAGCTAGCCCAAGTTCTCCCACTTGGTAGCTCTCTTTAAATTCGTTCGACTCTCTGGTTTTCTCTCCCAGTAGGTGCCTCTCTAATTGCGTTCGTTAGTGGTATCCGATAGTGAATCTCAGACCCACAATTTGAACCCATTTGGCACCACCAGGTGATTAATAAATCAATCAAAATAAGCTGCCTTGTTTGTGATTTTAGATCTTTTTATTTTCATTTAAAGTAGAAAGAAAATAAATAGTTTTTTTTATAAACATGGAATAATTGTTTTGGGTTTCCTTATATTATAACAGTAGATACGATCTGTTGTCTAAACTTGATATTTCGTTATTTGAAGTCAATAATAATCTTGGAATTATGTGAGTTGCCATTCCCATAAAGAGACTATAGATTTCAAAACCCATTTTGAAAGAGATACGATAGTTTTTATAGATACTGACATCCCTATCGGCAAACAAATGAAAACGAAATTGCAGAGGCGGGAGAGTCCTCCAAGCCATGGGAGAAAGTGAAGGCGAGGGTCGTTAGGAGAGTGAGCGGGTGGGTCCGGAGAGCACATCACTGTGGTGAAGAGCGGAGCAAGTGAATCATTGTGATGGCGTCAGCAGCGTCGCTGGCAGAGGCAGCGGCAGAGGCTGCTCCCTATGTTCAATCGGTATATTTTTAGGCCTTCTAGCAGTCACTCAACCTGACTCTTCTCTCTCTCTCTCTCTTTGCAGCGCGAGAGGAAGCAGCGCAAGCTCTACCTGGAGGAATGGACGCTGGGCGACGAGGATGGGAGGGGACGCGCGGATTCAGCGTCGCCGAGAAGCTCGAATCTTCAAAGTTCGCGCAGGCGGGAATGGTGCGCGAGATGCGCGGATGCGATCTCACCGTGGCGTAAGTATATCAAGCTACGCAGTATTTATCGCCTGCTAATCGGCGGTGATTATCGGTTTGCTATCCAACGGATATGCTCTGCTTTGTTTTATGACCTACATTAAATGACGGATGCAGTAAAACAACTGAATGAGATCGTTATTTTGTTTAATTAAATACAAATACTTATATTGCTCGATAAAAAATCATTACTATGAATATAAACACTTAACGTGTGTTATTGTATTTTCCTCTGCTTTACATAGTTTCCTACAACAGCATGGCTTCAACATCCCGCTGTTGTTCCGGGACAAAGCTGGTTTGGGCTTACGGATGCCCGATCCTCAAGAGTTCACCGTGAACGACGTGCGACTGTGCGTGGGTTCGAGAGACTCCTCGACGTCATGGACGTAAACACGCAGAAGAATCTACAGATGACCATGAAGGAGTGGCAGCAGTACTACGACAGTCCGCAGAAGGACCGCCTGCTAAACGTGATTTCGCTGGAGTTCTCACACACCCGCCTGGACAGATTCGTCCAGAGTCCGGAGATCGTGCGCCAGATCGACTGGGTGGACGTGGTGTGGCCCAAGCAGCTGAAGGACGCCCAGCGGGAGGGCACCAACCTGCTGGGCGGCATGATGTACCCAAAGGTGCAGAAGTACTGCCTCATGTCGGTGAAGAACTGCTACACCGATTTCCACATTGACTTTGGCGGCACTTCCGTGTGGTATCATATCTTGAGAGGGAGCAAAGTATTCTGGCTGATTCCACCCACCGATCGCAATCTTCAGTTGTACGAAAAGTGGGTTCTCTCGGGCAAGCAGGCGGATGTCTTCTTCGGCGACACTGTGGAAAAGTGTGCCGAGTCTATTTGACTGCTGGAAACACCTTCTTCATACCCACAGGCTGGATTCATGCGGTCTACACGCCCACTCAATCCCTAGTTTTTGGCGGGAACTTTCTGCACTCCTTTGGCATAGTTAAGCAACTGAAAACAGCCAGTGTGGAGGAAGTACGAAGGTGCCCCAGAAGTTTCGATACCCCTTCTTCACGGAGATGCTGTGGTACGTCCTTGCGCGCTATGTTCACACGCTGCTGGGACACTCCCACCTGGAGGGTGAAGCCTCGTTGAGCGAGGATGAAATGGCTGCTCGCCCGCACACCCACCTCACGCACCACGAGCTCTTTGGTCTAAAGGAGATCGTGATGTATCTGTACGATCTTCCGCCGCAGAAGAAGAACGTTCCCAGTTTAGTCCTGGATCCTGTGGCCCTGATCAAGGATGTTCGATCGCTAGTGGAACGTCACTGCAAGGATCAGCAAGATCTGGCCATCACTGGCATGTCCGTGTTGAAATCTCCACCTGGATCACAGCCGCCCTTCTTGCTGTACGATCGTACACGGGTAAAGCAGGAGATAAAGCAGGAAATTGCGCGCAAAAATGCAGAGGTATACGGGAGCAACAGCAATTGGAGGCGGGCAGAGCCAGGGATGCCGAGTCGGACACATCCCAGTCCACTGGAGTGGGATCTGCAATTGGAATGGGCGCTGGAATAGAGTACAGCAACGGAGTTATGAAGAAGGAACAACTGGAGAATGGTAGTGGAGTAGCAGTCGGAGGAAATGGATCGCAGCCAGGTGCGTTAATTGATTGCAGTTAATTACCTAGAATCATCATATATTCCTTAATTTACAGAGGCCACCTTTGTTCTGCCCACCGATACGCTCAAGTACCGCCCACCCAAAAAATGCATTTGGCCACCGCATTGGTGGCAGCTGCCGCCAGCAGTAGTAGTGGCTCTGGAGGATTGGTAAGCTCAGTGGGAGGAGGGGGAGGATCTGCAGTCGTAGGAAGCAGCCATAGTCCCACCGGTGGAGGAGTTGGACCTGCTCCAGGAGCCATCAGTGTCATTGCCACCAGCTCAAGCTACAGTGAAGGCGGAGCAGTTGGAGGAGTTCTCAGCATGGACAATTGTCATTCTCCAGGGGACGGTGGTGCCAAATTGTCGCCGAATTTGACTGGCACAGGACAACCGCGACGGCGCAGGACGCGCTGCAAGAACTGTGCCGCCTGCCAGCGCTCCGACTGCGGCACCTGTCCCTTCTGCATGGACATGGTCAAGTTCGGTGGCCCCGGCAGGGCCAAGCAAACGTGCATGATGCGACAGTGTCTGTCGCCGATGCTGCCCGTCACAGCGCAGTGCGTCTACTGTCACCTGGATGGCTGGCGCCAGACACCAGTCTCGCCACAGACCAAGCAACTGGCTTCCGCCGATGGGCCTCGGCCCTGATGGAGTGCTCCGTGTGCTACGAAATCGCCCACCCGGACTGTGCTCTCTCGCAGTTGGATGGCACAGAGATGCGGCGGATGCCAAGGGCATTGTAAATGAGGATCTGCCCAACAGCTGGGAGTGCCCCAGCTGCTGTCGTTCCGGCAAAAATTATGACTACAAGGTGAGAACTAAGAACTATGTATGTTAGCTTTAATACCAATCCTTACCTAGCCTTTTTATAGCCACTTACTAATCTTATTAATCTCTACCCACAGCCCCGTCACTTCCGAGCTCGTCAAAGTCCTCCGAAGTGCGACGTGTTTCCGTTTCCCATGGGCCAGGTGGCGGTGGCGACGGCCACGCGGAGGGAACCCACTGCTGCCGCCCCCGGTGGGCCAGTACAATGACTTTGTCTTCACCAGTGAGTCGGAGATGGAATCCGGCACGGCCAGCGGCCATATGACGCACTGGAAGCACGGCATGAAGCGCCACCACCAGTTGGAGGTTAAAACGGAGCGGAATAACAGCTGCGACACCCCATCGCCAGGAATCTCACCCAATGCCGTTGCGGCGAGTCCAAAGTAGGGAAGCGGCGCAAGAGCGACGATGGAACTAGTGTTAGTAGCAGCATGCACGAGAGTAATGATGCCCCGTGTGGGTCATCGGCAGAGGGACCTGGAGGAGCAGGAACCGCCAATGTATCCACCAATCAGTGGAGCGGTAGTGGCGGAGGAGGTGGCTCCCGCAAAAAGAACTCAATACGATCGCAGCTGGCCCAGCAAATGCTGAACTCGTCGACGCGAGTACTAAGAAACCGCAGTATGTGGTACGCCCGGCTAGTGGCACCGGCTCGTCTTCATCCAGTGGAAATGGAGGCAGTGCATCCGCCACCAATGGCATCAGCAATGGCAGCAATCAAAGCGGCGCCATTCCAGTGGAGGTGGAAACGGCGAGCGAGGAACCAATAATGGAGGATAAGCGGCTCGAATGGCCTGGGAAATCAACACCACAGTTCCGCTCAAAATCTGGCACTGGATCCCACCGTGCTGAAGATCATTTTTCGATATCTTCCGCAGGACACGCTGGTCACCTGCTGTTCGGTGTGCAAGTATGGTCCAATGCGGCCGTTGATCCCGATTTGTGGAAGAAAATGAATTGTCCGAGCACAAGATGTCAGCCTCACTTTGACGGCGATTGTGCGCAGGCAGCCGGAGCATTTAATTTTGGACTGGACACAGATTGCCAAGCGGCACTGGCGTGGCTGGTGGCTCGTCTGCCGGCGCTCAAGAATCTCTCGCTGCAGAACTGCCCCATCCAGGCAGTGTTGGCGCTGCACACCTGCCTTTGTCCACCGCTCCAAACTCTGGATCTGAGCTTTGTGAGGGGCCTAAATGATGCTGCCGTGAGGGATATCCTCTCTCCGCCAAAGGACTCGCGACCTGGGTTGAGTGACTCGAAGACGCGGCTAAGGGATCTCAAAGTGCTGAAGCTGGCGGGCACGGACATTTCGGATGTGGCCGTGCGCTATATCACGCAGTCGCTACCGTACTTGCGGCACTTGGATCTCTCCTCCTGTCAGAGGATCACGGATGCGGGCGTGGCGCAAATAGGAACCTCCACCACAGCCATTGCCCGTCTCACGGAGCTGAATCTGAGCGCTTGCAGGCTCGTTTCTGAGAACGCTTTGGAGCATCTGGCCAAGTGTGATGGGCTCATCTGGCTGGATCTGCGCCATGTACCCCAAGTGAGCACCCAGTCGGTCATCCGCTTTGCGAGCAACTCTAAGCACGACCTGTGCGTTAGAGACATCAAGCTGGTGGAGCGGAGGCGTAGGAACTCGATGACAGTGGCCAGAAGCTGGCACCACGACTGAGCAACTGGCAGCTGGAGGAGGCCCTATAAATCTTAATCGTATGCATTAGGACAGCACTCTTTCTAAGCCCCCAATCCTCATACCATGAATCCTCGCCGGAATGCAAGCCAAAGAGAGTCGTCAGGTCCTTTGTATTGCGTGTGGTTATGTTCTTAAAAGCTAAGCTAGTCAGGTTCTGATTTTCCGATTTTTCCGAGTGGGTCTTGATTCCCAAAGGTCACTGATGAGGATGTTTGGCGGCATCCGAAATATGCAAATTTCTCCACCTCGCTATCTGACCAGCCCATTTTCTATTTGCATGTATACATCTATCTTATCCTATACCTCTTTAAAAAGTTCCTGAGAATCTCAAAAAATCATTAATTTCATTGTTTCAATGTTTCGAAGAATATTAAAACTGAGCTGACGGAATTTTTAGAACGGGAAAATGTTGCAATATTATAGGGAACGGAAAAGGCATATTCTTAATTTCGGATTTTAATTTTTCGTCCTCGTTTTCTCCGTTTTGGCTAACCACATTGGGCAGTGCAAAGGGCTGAGCTTCGGTTTTTCCGAAGTTAGATGGCAGCCATCCTCTCCAAACCCCCTTTTCTACACGTAGCCACAACACTCACACTCGGACTTAGCGTAGTGATTAAGATTAGCATTCCCGCGATGGTAATTACATTTAATCAGTGTCATATATTTAAGTATGAAGGAGGAGTTACAAGTTAGAGACCAGCACTAGGTGCACCCATCCAGCTTAAGTAGATCCAGCTCGCACAGCAACTAAGAATCACAGGCAGTGCGTTTCGGGACTGTAAGCGCAATGCAAGCAAATGATAAACCCGATTTTATTTGACTGTCGAAACCTTTTTAAACTTCCCAAAATTTGGCCTTACTCAATGCAATTATAACTCGCGACTTACAGTTCTGAATCCCACTGTACCAGCGCTAACGCCGCACATAGTCGATAAGTCAACCTGCCAAGCTCCCTAAGAACCCCGACCCTCCCACTCCAGTAGCAGTTAAAATAGTGATAACGTTGCTAAAATATATATTTGAGAGTATGTAAGATAATACAAGTACGCGCATACTTATATTTAATGTTTTACAGAATTACATTACAAATATAGAATAATGTTTAAAAACTGTCTAGTACTTTGCTGATTTGTAATCGGGTTCATCGCCACCACCGCCGCCACCTCCCCCATCCTTAGGCAGTTTTCGCTTTTGAATGATTGTCTGGAAAAGTAAAAGAAAATGTTTAAATATATTTTCTGATTAATAGTGTATCCACTGTCATCTACACACCTGGATCTTCTGCCACTCCCTGTCCAGCTCGGCCTTCTCGTTTTTCTCCGTCTTGTTCTTGCGCGTTTTCCGACCGTCCTGCATCTTACGCCATATTGGAAGGCGGCTTTGGGTAGCGCCTCCTTGGTGCTCATGTAGTCAGAGTATTCCTCCTGCGTGTCAAAGTCCCAGCGACCAATGGGACCCTTCTTATTGCCCAGATCCATCTTGGTGTAATCCACCTCATCGTCCGGAGTCGTCGATGGCATCGTTCATCTCCTCCAGTCCCGGATAGCACTCGGCATAGCCCTCGGGTTCGGCAAAGCGTGAAGCCATGGCCTTCGATATCTTGGGAGGTGGGGGAATGCTGGAAATTAGGGGCTCTTCGGCCGCCTCGGGAGGACCATCGCCAAAGTAGGAGGCAGCTGGTTTTCCAGGCTCTTGGCGATTTCGTTCCCCTCGCGTGGTAGTGGGTTGATAATCACCAACATCGTCGTAGATGCTATCACCCACGGGAGCAGGCTTACCTTCCTTGTTGGTAGAAGTGGAGGTGGCGTGCCGACTGGTGCCACCGCTGCTGGACGATCCCCGAAGGTTCTCCACCTCCTTCTCGTAGAAAAGCGGCTTGTCCTTGTCACGCTTCTTGTTCTTCTTGTTGCGACCACCGGCTCGTAGATAGCTCAGGATTTGCGACAGCTTGTTGATCACAATGTCATTGGTGGTCAGCGTGGCCACATCTTCCCGTGCAACAGGCACCTCGAACTTGGAGCGCTTCAGTGTTGTCGGAATATCCGATTCACCCAGCTCATCATCCAGATCGATAACGTAGGCCATCCGTCCTGGCGCAAAGAGTTCATTGCGGGGAACTTCTTTGGATCGCCGTGCCTGGACCAGGTTGTAAATATTGCGGGCCAGTGCACCGTTGATGGCATTGATGTCCTCCGACTCCCGACGTTCTGCTTCCAATTGCTCGGCGGCGGCAGCTGCTTCGGCTAGCTTTTCTCTGGCCACGGCGGCGGCTATCTCCTCCTCCTCCGCCTCCTTTGAGTGCAGCTCGGAGCGCACTTTCTGTAGAAGGGCGTAATCGAGACCCTTCACCAAATGCGTATGCTGTATGTCACCGCCCAAGAACTTGGACTCCTGAATGATACGTCTCCTTCGCTCCTGGGCGTCGATTCCGGATTTCATATCCGGAGCTACGGCTCGGTAGGCATTGGTGCTGCTTCCGTGGCCAGGCGTGCTCACGTTCACGTAATCCGGATTGGCGCCATCGCGACGTTCTCGTGCGCGGTCCCTGTATTTCTCCGATAGTTCCAGCAGCTTCACATCCTCCTGTTTCTTGAGTGCCGCATAGAAGTTCTTCTTTTGCGCCGCAGATCGTTCCGCTCGCTGCTGCTCTGGCCCTTCTTCTTTTCCCCGCTCGATCCTGTCGAGCCGGGGGCGGTGGTGGGCGTGGCAAAGGTGGCCGTGGCCAGGGATCCTCCGCCGGAAGTGCTGGTTGTCCCAGAGCCAGGAGGCGGAGCGCGGGGCGTGGCCAACAGCTTGCGGAAGTCATCGTTTGTCAGTCGCACCGAGGGCGGTGCTTCCAAGTGGGCATCCGACATGGTGAAGGAGTTTCCAGCAAAATTCGCAGAGAAAATCTATATTTACAAACTGTGCTTCTTCTTTCCCTTTCTTGCCAGGGTTGTCAGGCTATAGGTGAGTTGTGTGTTATCGATTGTTGGCACAGCTGAGGGCGATAACATCCATGAAAGTTTAGCTACTTTTCCGCTACTTTTTGTAAATTAAATAAAAATATCACTTATATGATTGAATTCAAAAGAACCATCACTTTATAACAAGACGTTTGGTTTCGTAAAGTAATAATTATAGTGGCTATTTAAGTGCTTAGACTTTTCAATAATATCTAGCTACTTTTAAGGCCAAAACTGCATACACTGGGCACACTGTTTTGATAAGAATTCGATCAGTTATTATTGTTTTTATGTAAAAATGCAACAATTTCTAAAAGGACTTCCCAAAGTAGAACTTCATGCTCACCTCAACGGCTCCCTGGGCATAGAAAGTTTGCGTGATCTTGGCGAGCGGTTGTATGGATCCACATCCCACAAATTGTTGGAGCTGAGCGCGCTTCGATTTCAAAAGAATTTGGATGCATGCTTTGAGTCTTTAAATTTATCCACGAACTGACATCCACAGCGGAAGGACTGCGATTCGCCACAGAGTTGGCCGTACGGGATTTCGCCCAGGATAACGTGCAGTATGTGGAACTGAGGACTACTCCCAAGGAGAACGAGAACTATTCACGCAGGGATTACCTGCAGATCGTGATCGATGCGATCGAGAAGGCAAAGGAAAAGTATCCGGATACACTAGTCAAACTTCTTCCCTCTATTAACCGAACGGAACCGGTAGCCGTGGCTGAGGAAACCGTTTCCCTGGCTGTGGAGTTGGCCCAATCCCGTTCAGATCTTATTGTAGGGATCGATCTGAGCGGTAACCCAGCTCATGGAAAGTTCTCCGACTTTGCTCCCATTCTAGCCAGGGCTCGTGAAAAGGGTCTTAAGCTAGCTATACACTGTGCGGAGATTGACAATCCTTCAGAAGTCAAGGAAATGCTGCAGTTTGGAATGTCCCGCTGTGGACATGGCACTTTTTTGAGCCCCGAGGACATTGTTCTGCTCAAACAACGGAATATTCCCATCGAATGCTGTCTCACGAGTAATGTTAAATCGGGAACAGTGCCCAATTTGGAGGAGCATCACCTGAAAAGAATCATGGAGGCGGATGCACCAAAGGTTATTAGCACAGACGACAGTGGAATATTTGACACCACTTTGACGCAGGAGTTTCTGCTGGCTGCAGAAACCTTTGGGCTAACACATAAGCAATGCATTGAACTGACCCTGGAGGCAGTGAATCATTCGTTTGCCAGCGACCTGGAGCAAAAGGAGATGGCGGAAAGGGTGGCTAAATACGCGGCCACCTTGCCGATATAGAGGAAAACGAAGACATCCCTTCCGAAAAACTGATTCTGACGCTTAAGATCAAGATCAAAATACTCCGATACTACAAATGTACATAAGACCAAGCTTAAAACCTAAATTGTATTTCCAATTAAAATACAAAATAAAATTAAGATTAAAATTGTTCCAAAATGTGCAGTCCATGGGCAACCGAAATTTTTAACCCATTCTGATTCTGGCTTTCAGTCCACTTGTATTTTTCTGTTAAAAATAAAGAAAAGAAAGATATGTCGAGTCTCTGCCTTCAAACTATATCTTTTGAAAATGTAGTTTTCAAGAACAAATGTTCCGGTTTTAATATCATTCTTTTTATTCAATATGTAGAAGTATTTAGTTACAAGTTTTTTATTAGTTATGTTCATCCGTCGTACGTACATATGTGGCTAATAGGTTATTATGCTTTTCTTCTTCATTCTCTTTTAATATCATTCTTAATTGAATTCAAGTTCATTTATTATATGATCTTCTCGATTCTGCTTTTCTGTGTGGCTTATTTGGGGGTTTAGGCTTTCAAAATACAATGGAGTACAAGCATTGGTCAATAGCGGGCGTCTTAACTGCGTCGAAGTGAAGTGGACGATCGAAATCTAAAGCAATCATTTTGGGAATTAATATATCAAATGTATATATTTGATAAAACAGTTTGAAAATATTTCTTCGAATTAAGTTCTTCTTTAAAGTAAGACCATCCACTTACCAAAACCTGGAGATTTCAGTTGAAGTTGTTTGCCTGCCTGGTATTCCCTATATACAGTTTCAGGGGCATAGCCAGGGGGGGTTTGGGAGTTAAACGTCCATTCTTCCCAGGTGAAAACCCATGAAAAACTTGTGTTCAAAAGTATGCTACACAAATTTTGTTTTGAGAACCCCCCTCAACCGAGTCCTAGCTACGCCACTGTACAGATTAACTATATTTTTTAATGCTTAGTTAGTTTTATGCTTTTCTACATGAGTTTTACTACTGTATCCAGTTCATCTTTTAAGTCGTGCTTACAAGGAACGACCAACTTAGGAGTTTATGGTGTCTATTTATATCGTATAGAACTTGAGAGCTCAATTACAAATCTATATATTTATATAAAGGTTTACATTTCTACAATTTGGAAAAATTCTACTAGTTGAAAATGGTATGGTATGGATTTTGCTGTTGTATTCGACTTCATTTTTTGGATTTTGGGCATAAGGTTTTGGTATTCTTCACTTGAAGTATGTATAATTTTGTTAAAATTTACGGCCTGGTAAAAGTTTAGCTTGCCAAGGCTGATAAAAAAATATGTCTTGTTTACTTACTGGCTCATTATAAAAGTCGATCATTTCTTGGGTATACATATCATATAGACAGCTAGACTGTTCATATATAAAAAATGCGCCGTATAAAATGCCTCGAACTTTGCGCTCACTTTTGGTTGTGCCATTTTCTGTGGTTTCGGAAGGGCTATAGGTTATGGTAAGTGTATATTATTTATCTATTTGTTTTGTTATTTTCAATGTAATGCTATGCTCTTTAATTGCAGCATGCTGTATTAATATCAATTTTGATTTCAGATTTGTAGTTATCGCAGCCTTCCATTGAAGCCAATTAGTTGAAACTATGTGTGTCTGTGTGCATTTTGTGGTGGAGGAGAGAAAATCGAATGGGTCGAATTGAGAAATAAAACGTTTGCTTTTTGCTACATAATAAACTTGTTTTATTTTTTTCACAAAGAAATTAGCATTAATCGTATTTTGTATAATAATAATAAACATAAGAGTCTAATGCATAGTTAAATCAAATGCTCGAATGCAATGCTGTCCAAATTTTTAGTTATATAACTTGTGCCAATCGCTCGCCGTTTACAAAACTAAAACAATCGCTCTGTTTGTATATTTGAATTTCTCCGTGTGTTCGAGTGTGTAACTACAAAATATTCTCGTAATTAATTAATTACTGTATATTTATATTTATATGTATGTATATGCTTTAATATATATTTATATTTATATATAATTTATAGTTTTACTTGACGCCAGCTCTAGCACATGCCATGCCTTTAAATTTCCGCCTTCCGTCGCTCTGTCCTTTCTTTTTACAACAAATTACAAATGGTTTTTATTTATTTAGAGTATGGTTTTTAGCTATATCCTTAGCTTAGTTTACAAGGTTCTGCTGTCGAAAAAATTTTACAAATTTCTGCTTCTGCTGTATGTTTAAGATTTACTTTAAATATTGGTTATCTTTAGGCCCTTTTCAGTATTGGGCTTTAATTTCTTGTTTGTTTTTACAGTTAAGTTTGCGAAAAATCCAAACATCTTGCAGCCGGAACTTATTTTTCCTATTTTGCAATTTCAAAATGCCAGACCTTTTTTGGCCTTGGGCATAGAAAAAAATGCTTGCTCGTTTCGCTTCGCTACACGTTTACAAGTTTACAGGGAGTTCGCGTACAATTTATGTTATATTGTTTACAATTGTGGTTGTTAAATGTTTTGCTTGGCTTCTGTTTTAATTGGAATTTGCTTTAGGTTTTTAGTTTTCGACTTGTATACCCAAGTGTCTTACATGCGTGCAAAAAATTGTTACTGTAAAAACTGGGCGTGTGTAGAATACGCCAGCTTACGTGTAAATTTCACTGTGCCACAGCACTTCCGCTACTCTACACATGTATTTTACATATACATCGTTACATCATTACATCATTACATCATTACATCATTTTTAAAAACGTTGCCTCACGTCAAGTTCAAAACTAAGTGTAGTACATAACTCTATATGCGTGTAAATATGTATGTTTAAATATATATATTTATAGGGATTCGCTGGCTTACACTAACTACTACAGCTAAGCAGCTCGCTGTGTCCTGTGTGTGTGTAGGTGTATTTGTGTTTTTGTGAGTGTGTGTGTGTGTGTGGGTGTCCTGTGTATTTTACACGTCAAATTTACACGGCGTGTAGCATTGTGTTTAGTCTACAGAAAGCATCTCTACTTGCATTGTTCACTCCGTATCGAGCGATCATCGATCGACCGATCATCGAACTCGAGAATCCTAAATACAATGTTCATCTATGGATTATTTAAATTAAAATTATCAGTGCATTGCGCTCTAGAGACAGGCAGTTGACAAGTTAATAACTAAAAATACCAAACAAATAATACCGAGCCCTGCTTGCGCCGTCGCTTGAAATGCGCTCACTTGTACAGAGACAGGATAATACGGGTATACGGATGTAATGGGTTGTTTGGAACGAGGGATGAGGGATTACGATCAATGGTTAATGGGATGTATGTTATGTGTTGCGGGGGGGAAATGTACAGAAAATTACAAATGTTCAATGACTGGTATCCTTTGCTTGTTATATACAAAATACGACAACGACGACGGTGACGACGACAACAACATACAACGACACGACAACGAATTTGTGTGTACAAAAATATGCATAATACACTTTACATTGATCTCCAAAAATGGTTTTACATTGGATTTTTGTGTGTTTCGACGAAACCGACAAAAAAGTCTAAATTCGTTTTTCTTACCATCTCTCGTTTTCAGTATTTTCAGTATTTTAGTATTTGGAATAAGGCGTCGCGAAGTAATCTAAATTTATATCAAAAATGTACAAAATTCTTCTTGGTATTGTTACTTTTTACAATATTCGTTCGTATGTATACATATACAATTTTTGTTTGCAATTTACAAGTGTTTCGATGACGTTTTAAAACAATTTTATACACTTACGTGGGGGAAGGGCTAATTATTCAAAGCTAATGCATTTCAAGCTTCGCAGGGAGCAACAAGCGCTTTCTGTCTAACATAACAAGGTAACTCTCCACCTGATTTCGCTCAGTGTGCAGTTGAGAAAGCATAATGTCGATTTTAAATCATATTTATACATATACATATATCATACATTAAGGTGGGCTAGCAAACGTAAAAGTGTGTCGGATAATTTTGAAAAAAAATTGGTTTATTTTGATGGTTATAGTTTTAAAATCCAATCATTATCAATGGGGCTTACTTGGCTAACAGGTTCTTTAGCTGACGCCCCACCCACCGAAGTACTTGCTTATCATCGGTGGGCGGCCGCCAGCTAATATGTATAAAATTATAAATACATGCGTGCAGTTTAGAATAGAATATGTATGAGTTACTTGCGACTTAAAAAAAATTTACAAAATATAGTATGTATACATTTTACAGTGAAACATTTGAAAATTACATGGTTTACATGGTTTGTTGTTGGGGGTTTTTTTTTATACAAAATTTTTACATAGTGCAAAAGCAACGTGAATGGGCTGAAGAGTCGTTCATTGTGTGTGTGTATGGGTGTGGGTGTATGCAACCGAGTGTGCGTGAGGGGGCGTGGCGTGTCTCGTGTGTCTCTGTTTTCATTGTGTTTCCGGTAGCTGCTGGCTCCAAAAACAGTATTACTCTACATTCTACACTAAGTGTGGCTTCTGCTGTTATCCCTCGTTTATATATGTATGTATATTTGAAATGGTTCCTCCTCTGTCTGCACTTATAAATTCTAGGCCTATCCATGCAGCCCTTCTGCAGCTCTTCTACATTCTTCATTCTTCAGCTCGCCGGCTCTTCAGTTGTCCTCTTATCAATTTACAGTCGAAACATTAATCATTTACAATAGACTTGCTATATAATCATTAATTTATACAAAGTTATTACAACGAAAATCTACGCAGACGAAATGGTTTTCTTGACATTTAACTTTACATTCAGTGTGTTTTCATTTTTGCGATTTATAACGCCTTTTTTGTTGTTTCTCCTCATCTTTGTGTGATCTGTGTGTTTCTTTTTTACAAATTAAATATGCGAGCGCATTGTACAAATATTTTGAAATCTTCTTTCGTGAGAGTGTTATTACTTTTTGTTCGTAAAAATACAAATTTGTTTTAGCTTTAGTTCTCAAGCTGTTTTGCTTTCTAGCTGGCCAGCATTTTACTTTTTTGTTTCTCTAGCTTGGCGCATGTGTGTTTTTTTTCACTTTACAAATCTTCGAGAGCAGCTTCTCAATCGATAGCTGCTTTTTCAATAAATTAGTTTACATTTATATGTATTTTTTTGTTTATGTATAGCTCTACAGCTCCTAAAAACTAGTCTGCGATTCGAGAAGGAAGTTTCCTTTGACTGCCTGGTTTTATTTGTTTACTTTTGTTTACTTGTTCTCCCCTTTACAGCACAACGTTGGTCGGGGGTCCAATGGGACCCAGACCGCTGTTGACGGCGCCCGACACCACCGAGGATGAGGACTCGGAGGCATCCGGGGATGAGGGCTCCACAATCATGGCGCTGCCGTTCTCCTGCACCGAGCAAATGGTGGGTGAGGCCAGGCTGTTGGTGGTGCTGGTGGTGGTGGTGCTGCTGCCACTGGTGCATGCTGTGGCCGATGACGAAGTAGCTCCACTGCCGCTGACTGCCACTGCCGACGAGGATGCCGGCACTCCGCCGGCTCCAGTGCCCACCGTATCGGGTTGGTTATCTTCATGTAGTACTTCTCCAACTTGGCGTTGATGTGCTTGCCATAGGTGTACTTGCGCAAGGCGGCCATGTGGGGCCGGATCTTGGTCATTAGTTTCTTGAGCTGCGTCGGCTCCGAAACATCGATCATCTTCTGGACCACATAGTTGGCATACTGATCCTTCATCATCACGTGCAACGCGCTGTGGGAGGGGTAAATGCAAAATGTGATTAGTTACAGTGGATTGTAGTTTATTTCCGTAGCACTCACTTGTCGTTGAAGGTGCAGACCTCGTCTATAAGACCAGTGCGTTCGCCACGTGTGGCATGGGTGACGCATTTCTCTACTACATTCGAAGCGAATTTGTGCTGCGATAGCACCAGAACCTTGCCGCGCACGCTGTTTATCAGAATGGACTTATCCTCCTGCTTGCCGTGCTCTAAAATACAAAGTTCAAGGTTAAAAAGTTATTTAAAACATAGGTTAAACGGTTCACTTACCTAGCACATGCTGAATTACATAGTTGCCGTATTGGTCCTGGATCAACTGTTCGGTGTGCTCGTGCAGCTCGTCCAGAATGGGCGTGGTCTGTTCGGCGGTGCAGTGCTCGAGGATCCTCTGGATCACCCGGCATCCATAGGGATGGGTGCTCAGCGAGTAAACCTGCCCCTTGAACGCATTGATGATGAACTGCAGGGCCACCGGATCCACGCATTCGATGCACTTCTGCACCACATGTTTCCATTCTGATCCTTGACGCACTTCAGCACATGTCCGTCCAGTTCGTGGACGATCTCCTGCTGCTGTTCCGGCGAGATGCTCTCGAGGGCCTTTTGGATCACTCGGCATCCGTACATTTGCAGCGCCAGCTGCAGCACATGACCCTTGACCTGCATGCCCAGCGTGTTCTTCTGCTCCGGAGTGCCGAACTCAAAGAACTTCTGGATGACATAGTTGCCAAAGACATCGGTCATCAGGCTATAGGCTGCGGCCAGGATCTCACTGAATACCATTTGCTTTTCGGCCGCCGTGGCACGTTCCAACTTCTGTTGGATGAACCGCGAGCCGTGCTGATCCTGCGAGAACTCCACAATGTGGTTGACAGATCGCGTAGCTGGAGATTGGGATACCGCTGGTTGCGGAAATCCTCGAGTAGGCGAGATCTGCCCGGCTGTGGGGCCCCGCCCACGCCGCCGCCGGCTGCCGCTGCCACCGCGCCGCTGCCGCCGCTGTGGCGGCCACCTGTCGCGAGTTGGCCGCCGCTGCTGCTGCCGCTGCCGCTGCCACGGCTGCGGTACCCGGAATGGCCAGGTGATTGAGAAGAGCGAGCTATTGGAACCGAACATATTGTTGGCTGCCGCTGCCACTGCTGCCTGTGCAGCTGCTGCAGTTGCCGGCAGTCCCACGGCGGCCAGCTGTTGCTGCTGCTGTTGTTGCTGTGCTGCCGCTGGCGGGACTCGGCTCCGGGTGCCCGACTGCCCAGAGGCAGGATTGCGCCGACGGCGGCGGTGTGAGTGGTGCGCCCAGCGGACTGGCCGAGGCATTGCCCGCTCCGAGGGCTCCGTAGGCTCCACTGGCCGCTCCCGACATCGCTCCCGGCCACTTGCCACGCGCTGCGGCGGCTGCTGCGGCCGCTGCTGCGGCCTGGACAACTGTGCTATTCACCGCATTGGCGGCAGCTGCCACACCGCTGCTGGTGTAGTCCATCGCCGAGGGGCTGAAGGCGGAGGTGCTGCGGTCGAAGGAGTCGCGGCGACCCGTCAACGAGCTCGTGTTCAAGGCGAGTCCTGGAAAATGTAGAAAATTTTGGCATTAGTTAGAGGTAAATATATACATTAAACTTAATTTAAAATTTTTAGGTATTAAAAATAAGATTGTCGTTTTCTTAATGAATTTATGACCGCGTTTAAAATATATTGTTGCATACTTTTATACACCTAAAAATTACATTTAAAAGTAACTTCAAAATAAAAACGATTTTGTGGATGGATATAATGAAATATAAACTAGATAAGCTGAATTTAAAACATTGGACTACTTAAAACGTATTTAAGAAGTTGCAACTCAGTCTAGTTACTATTGTAAATTTCAGAGATCTAGTGCATCTCCATCTCCAGCAGTGACAATCATTTTGCAAATGGAAAATCGAATGACCGTAAAGCTGGCTGGCTGCACTTTAAATTCAGTTTACAGCCTTCAGTGGGACATCAACTGGATGAAGCTGGCCCAGATATAAAACTCTGACGGAACTGTACCCAATATCCTTGCCCGTAGCCGTTTGCTGCCGCTTTGTAATTAATCGAGAGAAGCGAGCGGAGGCGACTTTGATGCGCCTGTAAAACTTAATTGCCCGCTTCAAGGCGCAGCTGTTGGCTTAGTTTTAGTCACTTGGCCATTTGGCATTTGCAATGCAGGGATAGATGTCTCGTCTCTTTTCCCTTTCCCCAGCTTCCCTAGAACCCACATTCATCTCTCTAAGCCATAATGTACAGCATTAATGGTCTGCGCACATGAGGCTGCTGGTGCCCGGCTCTGCCTGCAATCTCCACAGGATATGTAAAAGGATACAAGTGGGCGGAAACAATAAGTGGATGTGACTGGGTGGTAGGAGGAGCAGAAGACGGCGACGACGACGGTGCCAACTTGATTGATGTTGTAATCTGTCACTGGCATTTGATTTGCCATCTAGGCGGGGAAAGTGAAGGGAAAGTCAAGGAAAGCGAGACTTTGAGAGATTTGCAGGCATCTCATATTGTATTCCCTGCGTCCAATGGTACGGAAATGTGCGATTAGCGAAAGTTCCAATTGCATACTGGCTATAAAAATTCTTTATCAACCCCAAAATTGTTCTAGATTTTGCTGCACTTTGAAACTGCAAATAATTGCTCAAATTTATATTACGGGGCAGGCTAAAATGCCATAAACGTGGCCTGAACACATTAAGTTATTTAACTGCTAATGCAACAACAGCTGCGCGAAAGGGTTGCGAAACTCCCAGCTGCCTTCAGGTGAGTGGGTGGGTGGTTTAGGGTGGTTTAGGTTGGCCTAGGGTGGTCTAGGGTGGTTGCAAGCCCCTCTCAAGGGTTTTCCGGGTTTCCCGGGGAAACGGAAACGGAAAAGGCGAGGCGAGTAAGGCGAGTTGTAAATGTCAACACAGTGTGCGCAATTTGTTGACCGAGTTATTAAGCAATTTGTTGAAAGTTGCGGAATGGTGTTGGTAAATAATATACAATGTTGTTGTTTGTTTCGGAAAACTAAAGTGGAGCAGTGTTAGCAGGTGTATGCCAGAAATCGATGGTTAAAGTTAAGCAGAGAAAATGTGTACACTTTGGGGGAAATAAAAGCTTTTAGTTTGCTTATGGGACTAGAATTTAAATAGAGTATAATATAACCTTCTTGGAATTTAAGTATTATATTGAATTTGCTTACGTAGTCTTTTTTTTAGTTTCAAGGATACTTCTGACATTTAAAAGCTCAACAATTCTGTAGCAATTAAAGTGCGGGCCGTGTTTCCGTTACTTTGAAGCCGCGCTTTAGCACTAATTACATTTCATATAATGCCCCTTAAACCGTTTTTTCATAGCCTACTTAACAGCGCTTACAAAGTTGCCCGAGCCGAGAATAGTTTAACCACCCACCCGACCAACCATTACACCCACTCACCCACCGACCTTTCTCTCGACATTTAAATGACTCGCAGTTTTAATGCGTTTTCACTTTCTTTTTTTTCGCCATTGTGCATAATGTGCACGTGTGTGCATTTATAATTCATAAAATCATTACATTAAGCTAAGGACGAGCGGCAAAGTGTCGTGTCCCTTCTCCCGTCTCCCTCTCTCGTCTAGTGCCGTCTCCCTCTCGCCCTTTCTATTTGCGGAACGTGTGCATAAACCACAGAATGTCGCCTGCAATAAACTTGGCGTCTTTTAATGCCACCCACCGCCCACACGAGAGCAGCCATGGATCCACATGCACAGGAAAAACCTATTCTATATTTAATTTTAGGGTAAAAAGATATATTTAAATGTTTTTAACGTAGGACTAAATTATCAGATCAGATATTTATAATATTTAAATATGTAAAGAATAGAACAAAATATATATACCTTAGGATTCTTTTATATTTATTGTGCCAAATGTACCATAACAATGTAAAATATTTGAACTAAATATTTTATATTGACATGATTATATTATACCGAAATTTAATCAGATATGATTTTAAAAATTATAAACATTGAATTTTTTTATTATTTTTTTTATTATTCTTTGATTTTATCTTGTCAAGAATTTAAAATAAAATATTATAAATTTCACATTTTAATTGAATATTTTAAACTTTTAATTTTATTTTATATTTATTTATTATTATTATACGTTTAATTTTTTTCAGTGTGCTACATGGCTGCAGTTTCATTTGGCAAAGTGTCTCCCAAATGGAGGGCTGCTCTCACTCTGAGCTGATTTGAGCTGAGACAGACAGACGGTCGTGGGGCAGCCTCTGAATTAGTGGGTGGGTGGTTGGGGGTGGACAGGGACACCATCTATGCACCCCCAAAATACCACCCCGCACAAATTGCATGAATAATTCCCTTTTAAATTGTGCAACTACACGCACCTAACCGAAACCCAAAATCCAAAATCCAGCCAAACGCAGGCCCAGAAAATAAAGTAAGCAGACAGAAAACATACGCCAAACTCCCCCCTCGCAAAAAACACTTTCATGGATGCAATGCAAATTGTTTGTGTTTTTCCACCGTCTGTATTTGAAATTTAGTCTTTCCCTTTCTACGAATTCTCCGCTGGAGAATGGCGCCAAATTAGTTGCAATTTAAATGCAAGAATTACAAACTTTTGCCCGCCTTTCCCGCTGGCTGTCATTAAACTAAGCATTTCATTCGGGATTTCCCATTCGCTGCAAGAACTTTTAGTTGTTTCCGCGGCAATTAAGTTCGAGCAACTGTTGCAGACAGATAAAAATTAAACCTGAACTTAATTTAAACTTCATTTTATTGCAAATATCAATCTTTGTAGTTCAATTTATTTTAAATGTGATTTTATAGGGGAAAACAAAAGTATACATTTAAGAATAGTGGAAAGACTCTTTAATTTATTTTATAATTTGTTTTTAAAATATGAAGGTACCAATGGGTGATTATTAGGTTTAAAGAAAGGAAAATATATAGGGATGCATAAATCTAAAATGTAAACCAATGGTTGAACGTCTTCTGTTTAAAATAATTTAAGATACTGTTTAAATTTAAATCTAAGTAAATCTTTAAGTCTCTCTATGAAATAAATTGATTAAAAGGAATTTAGAACGGACATACTGTTGTTTAAATTTTATATATAATAAATATCAAAAGCAATTAAATAGCCAAGGACTTAATTACCGGTGTAACGTATAAATCTCATTATAAGGCTGCTTCCACTATTACATCAATCTGTGTCTTTTTTTGCCAATTCAATTGAAGTTGCGTCACGCATACGCCGTGTGGCACACATCATGAGACTTTCATTAAGCGTAAAGTGCACACACGACCAACAACCAACACCTCCCGACACCGCAGCAAGTGTCAACCGTGTGCTGCATGTGATCCACCCAGATCCTTCTGCTCCTGCTGCTCCTGCTCCTCCCACCCATTAACCCCTTATAGCCCCGCTTGTTTCAGCCCCTGTAAGCCAGCATAGCAATTGACATTTTACAAAATAAACGAATTCATTTGCACAAAAGGCTGCCGCAGAAAGTGGGATGAGTGTGCTGGGAGGTGGATAAAGCAGCTGGCTGGCAGGACGAACAATGTGCTGCATTGTATGCAGAGTGGTTTCGGTGGCTGGGGTTGGTTTCGATGGGTATGTGTAGCCTTTCACTTTTCCAGCACCCCTGTGTGATGCAATCACATGTTGCCAACATGCGAAAGGTGTACATAATAATTTAGCAGCCAAAGGAGGAGGATGTTCCTCCAGCTATTGCTTCTGCTCCTGATGGTTCTGATGCTTCTGATGCTTCTGATGCTTCGGAGGCTGCTTTTCCAACCCCATTGTTTTCAAGGCAATGCCCAAAATGGGTTTGGCGGTTGCAAAGTCAAGCAGCTTTCCGTTTTCCATTTTCCTTTTTTCCTTTTCCACTTTCCATTTTCCCCCCTCTTGCCAATCCACATGCCACATGCCCCATTCTTTCAGCCAGGCCAAGGCGCATTAACGTTTGTAATTGCAGCTTGTCTCTGACGCAGAAGGGGATTCGTTCAACTGATATGCCTCCTCCTTCTTTTCCTTCTTCTCCTGCTGCTGGATACCCTACACCCCGCTGTTCTCCTTCAGGCAGCCACTTAAAACAATATAATCTCCATTAAAAAGCCTTTTTGACATTGCACACACAGTCAGGCAGGCAGACAAGCAGACAGATAGTCAACTAGAATGGGGGTGGGTTAACTATAGAGGGGTGTTCACTGTACAGCATCGATTGCACAACATAATGAGTGGGCCGCCTGCCTGCTGCAGTTGTTAGTAGGGATTTGTGCCAGCGGAGGACAAACTGTGGGCGCCATGTGCTAATTGTAATTGAGATGCGAATGCGCAAGTGGAAATGGTTACACTTGGGGAAAAATGTCATGGGTCATTGGGAAAGAAATGTTTACTGGGTGTGAGTACATTTAAGTTGCACTTTTACCTATATTTATATTTCTTTTTTAATAAAGTTTATGAATTATGATGATATACTTGATATGATATACTTGTATTTACATTTTTTGTTATCCTAAGTACGAGTATATATGATTAACTAATCTATTTATTTATGTTTATGTTCTTCTTAATGGAAATGTATGAAATATATGGTTCACTGAGGATGGGATAGTTATACCTCAACTTTGTTATCTATACTATCCTATTAAATTATCCAGATAACTTTGAACATATTAATTTCTCAATATTGTTAGCTTTCAAATTATTAGTATAATTAAATTAAAGTATTATAGTTTGAAGATTAAATTTAAAATATAAATAAAAAAAATTATTATCAAGTGATATTTATTTCTAGAGCAAATAATTGATTTGAAATTCCCCATTTTTCGCAGTGCATCTAATCCAAATTGGTAGAACGGCATATGCAGGTGGATCTGTGAATGTGGCACACTCCTCGAGAGACCCTCAGCCTAATCACCTGGCATCATCACGGTTCTCCACGCAAAGCATGTCAGGACTTGACTTGCGGTCTCGAGAACGGATTGCAATCGATTGAGTAGTTTCCACCACTCGAATCCGAAATGGATTACATAACTTGAGCACTTGTATGCGGATCGCAGTTCTCTCTTAAAGACTCGGCTTAAAATTGCAACATTTAAAACAACAATTTCAGCAGCAACGTTGGTGGGTATAATGAAAAAAGGAAAAAATTAAAATGCGTAATCACTCATACGTCATGTGGAACAACACACTGTGTGCAAGAAGAGAAAACTGGAAACTTCATTAAACTGCCATATGAGGCAAAATGAATTAACGACATAATAATGCCCCGGCTCCCAACCGTCCGATGAATTCGACTTCCATATTCCGGGAAATTCGTTCCGTTAATGGAAAGAGCGTTTTTGCATGCGGTCGGGCACAGTGCAACAAAAAATGGAAAAAAATGGTAGGTGGAAAGCGTAATAATTGATTTCTCCTGATTGTTAATGGAGTTAATGGAGCTGTCCACGTCCAATGTCAGTAACTCTTCCCTGTGTGCATCGAGTTAGGAACTTTAACATTTTCCCTGTAAACTGCATTTAAAGTTTATGCAAAATTGAAAATCTATGTGTTTTTGCAAAACACTTTCATGCGAAACTTTGTACAACTTGAGACGGCTATATCTTCACTACTTAAACTTCGAACGCACAAAGTGTAAACTTTCAATGCCTGACTGCAGTTATTAATTGTAATTTGAAATTCTATAAATCTACAACAATTGCACAGCAACAACAATGTTATATAAGCCATCGTCAACATTTTCCCTCTAGCATTTTGTAGATATATTCTATGGCAAATTGTTATTTTTGGCCAATCACAAATACACGGACAAACTTTGCAAGGATAACTTGGAAATTTAGAGTTTGTGCAGTGGATTTGGTTTTGGAATTAAAAAAGCTTAAACTAATTATCGATTAAATATTTTGTAGATTTTATATGATATCTTTAAATTAAAAACTTTATGTTTTTCATGATCTCTAATAATCCTCTCTGTCTTTCTTAATATTTTCAATGCATAAACTGTCAGTTTGAAACAACCCATTCCTTATTTGTTTCTCTCAACTATATATGGGTTTTACCCCCAACTCATCGCGTTACGTTTAAAATTGCATGAGTCAGTTGTAGGGACTTCTGCAGTTGTTGTCGTTGTCGTTTTAGTTGCATTATAGTTGAAGTTGAAAGACGAAGTTGCAATAATAACATTTTGCGTGCTGGCATGCAATTGTTGTTAGTTCTCTCCTCGATGGCTCTTCTGTGCATTAGATATGTATGAAAAACAGGAAAATTTACTGACACAAACAGTTGGTTTTCATGGCTTTCCATGGCGGAGTAATGCATTCTCGACTAGGTAATGCTAGATTCATGTATGCCCTGTAATTGTTACTTGGGGAGCCTAAATATTTATCTTGGGGAATACTGAAAGGGTATATATATATACAGGTTCCTTAAACTATTTAACATGCATGTTGTAACAAGGGCAAATCCTTTTGGTTCTCCTAACCTAATATGCCCTGATAATTCCAAATGTAGAGCGCCATAGCACGCAAAATAATCGAAATGAAAATTTGAAATTATAAATTGCATGAATATTATTATTCCTTAGTCTGGGGCAATGGAGCTGACAAGTTAGGATGACTACTCCCCTTGTCACCCAACAATCTATTATTATTATTACTATTCAGACACATACTCAAAGGCATTTGGCAAGCTTGAAAATTTGCTATTTACGAGCTGAGATCCTTTGAATACAAAGAGAATTGTAAGATAAACAAAGATTAATGGCTGTACAATGTACATACAAACATACAACTGGAGAGTGAGTTTTATTGGGGATGTTGATGAGATGTGTATGCCACATTTTACACTAATTACAGTTTTTGTCATTGCACACTGGGCGAAATGAATGATAAGTCTGCAGGATATTAAGAACTGCGTTTAAAATATTGATACAAAAATATTACAACATTGAAGGCACACATTTTAAATGATATGGCATGAAAGAAATAACATTATTTCTAAATATTAACCATTCGCAAGATGTACTGCAAGACTTCTAATTACTCATACGCCATGTAACCCAATTTTAATGTTTATTCAGCACAACCTAGATAACTCCAAATGCTTCAAATTTGCAACACATAACCTTGTTTAAGGTGGATAAATGCGAAACTAATAAAAAAGATAGCACCTATTTAAAAATTACTCATACGCTTGTTGTGCTGCATAGCTCATAAATGTTAAATATTACTCATACGCCATGTTGCATCTAGATACCTTCAATTTCTTTATGCTTAACCTTATTTAAGGTGGGGAAATGCAAAATTAATAAAAAAATAACAACCTATTAAAAATTACTCATACGCTTGTTGTGCTGCATAGCTCATATATGTTAAATATTACTCATACGCCATGTAAACTCTTTTTAGTTATTTTCTTATAGACTTCATTTCCCTTCAATTTTATAAAATGGCTTATTCTTTCTTTGTATTATACCTAAAAATCGCTTTTTTTACATGATGTGAGTGAGAACACTTACCTCCGACACTGGAGCCATTCTGCTGCGAGTAGAGATTCTGTTGGGCCGTCTGCGGCTGCGGTTGGTACAGCTGTGGGCCCTGCGGCGGGGGGGACCGGCACGGGTGGCGCCCGGGGGCACCAGAACGGGGGCGGGGCTAACCAGACGCATGGGCGTCCCGGTGCGGGGTCCTCCCATCAGCAAGGAGCCCGTGTGATCGAGGAAGGCCGGGATGACCTGCAGCACACCGGTATTTTACACGATTTGGATTTCGTTTTTGTACAGGGGTTAGAGTTTGGTTTTGTTTGGTTTTGTTGTTTGTTGGTTATGGAAGCGTGTTGTTTTGATGATGTGAGTATAAAAAAGAGAAAAAAAGAGAGACAGAGCATAAATATACAACGTTTTTGGTCCAATTAACTATAGTTATGATTACAATTACAAGGGAAGCTTTACATTATACTACACTTTTTCAATTTACACATATACAGGTAACTATGAAACATATTTGTTTGGCTACAAATTTGTTTGTTAAAATAAACATTTATACTTTATTCAATTATGGTTTCATACAAACAATTTGCAGCTAGCCAATTATCGCGGAAACGAATTTCAATCTGACTTTGATTATAATTAGTTTAACACTTGATAAGTTCCCCTAACTAATTTCATAGTTCCCAGAATTTCAATTTGAATAATTGCTGTTTAATGAAGTTAAACTTTATTTTTATTTAATTCAAAGCAAATGTAAAATCCATACTTTTTATATTATAAAAGTATTTCAAATTAAAAGATTCCTCTAATATTTTCTAATTCAACTGAAATCAAATGTTCAATATGTTTTATTATTTTATAAGAAGGAATTCGCAATTTAAAAGATTCCTTTAACTATTTTCGTAGTCTCAAATTTTAGGTTCTTTGATTGTTCTTAAATGAGTTTAAATGTATTCCAGTTCAATTGACTGGTTTGTTAATTATTAAGTGTTCGAATAACATTTAAGTTGAGTTGGTTGGTTTAAGGGATAACTAAGTCGTCAACTTTAATTAGCAGCTCTGTTGCTCAACCGCGAGTGTAAGGCCTTTGTCACAATCAATTGACACCTGCCATATGTACACCTATGTGCATCTTTGAATGTATAGTTTATGTACACCATATGCTCCATTGTTTCCGACAGCTAACTGTGCGGCATGATAATAGCCTGACTATACTGGCTATCCTGCGTTACTGCTATATATCTCACCTGATACGGCTGATTCTCGGCACCCTGCTGCGAGGGGGTGAGGGGGCGGCGCGGCTGCGTTCCCTGTTGCGGAATCAAATTGCCCGGATACATGCCCCAGGGCGCTACGCCGTAGTACTGCGGCATCTGGGCAGCGGCAATCATGCCCATATAGGGGGCAGCCTCCTGGCCCGGATTGATGACGTAGGGCGTGGCCTGTTGGGCGGCATAGGCCGCATTTTGCGCCTGCTGGGCGGCCAGAAACTGTTGCGACGCTGCAGCCATTTGCATCTGTTGCTGCTGTTGTTGCTGCTGCTGTTGCTGCTGATGCTGCGACTGTTGCAGCGAGCCATTGGGCACGGGGGCAGCGCCCACCGCCGCCGCAGCACTCGCTGCCGATGTGGCAGCTGCTGCGGCTGCTGCTGCGGCCGCTGCATTTGTGGCAACTGCTGCAAGGCCCGGATTCTGCGAGCGGAACAGTTGCTGCGGGGGGGAGAAGATACGAAAGGGGGTGGTTAGTTACTTATCAGGTCATCGGTTTAATTGCAGTCGTTCAACGGGATGGGAGAGTGCTTAAGGTGTAAGTACCTCGAGTTGCATGAATACCTGAATGTTATGTTGATTGAATTTCTAAAGTTTCTTCAATTCAAATCCAGCTGAAAATCATATTAATTGGAGTTGAAGCTTTTGTAATCATTAAAATTTATAATGCTATTCTCGCCGCTATTGTATTGAATATATTTTAAGATTTTTTAAAAATGTTTAATTTTTGCCATTTTCCCAAAAAGCATGTAACCCCTACAAAAATTGAGAAAATTGGTCAAAAAATAAATTTTCCAAAAGTGATGAGGATCGTTAGCATATTTAGCAAGCTGCTCAAAACAGTCGGTCTTTTAGCTGTACGCCTTGATTTGGCTGAACTACGATGGAAAAACTGAAAAAAAATGTAGAATTTTTGCCAAAAATCTGAATTTTGTATTTTTGACAAAAATGTTACCCTTTTTTCTCCAGAAAAATCAGTTTTTGGCTGCCATAACAAAAATAAAAGTCAGAATGAGGAATGTCATACCTCGTTGAGCTCGTTGTTTAATTTTCAATCGATTGCATTCTAACCTGAAAATTTTTAATTTTTGCCATTTTTCGGAAAAAAGTGATGTAACCCCTACAAAAATTGATAAAATGGTCAAAAAATAAATTTTCCAAAAAGTATGAGGATCGTTAGCAATTTAGCAAGCTGCTCAAAACAGTCCGTCTTTTAGCTGTACGCCTTGATTTGACTGAACTACATGGAAAAACCGAAAAAAAAATTCGCATTTTTGACAAAAATCTGAATTTTGTATATTGACAAAAATGTTAACCCTTTTTTCGCCATAAAAATTCAGTTTTTTGGCTGCATAACAAAAAATAATAAAAGTCAGAATGAGGAATGTCATACCTCGTTGAGCTCGTTGTTTAATTTCCAATCGATTGGCATTCTAACCTAAAAATTTTAATTTTTGCCATTTTTCGAAAAAAAATGATGTAAAAAAATGAGAAATTGGTCAAAAAATAAATTTTCCTAAAGTGATGAGGATCGTTAGCATACTTAGCAAGCTGCTCAAAACAGTCGGTCTTTTAGCCGTAGGCCTTGATTTGGCTAAACTACAGGTGAAAAACGGGGAAAAAAAATCGCATTGTTGTCTAAAATGTAAATCTTGTAATTTTGACCAAAATCTGAATCTCATTTTTTCGCCCTTAAAGTTTAGTTTTGCTACTATAACAAAAATAATCGTCAGATCGAAGAATGTCATACCTCGTTGAGCAACATATGTACGTGTTCGTTTTAATTCCGTACTTATAAGTCAAATAAAAGCTTATAGCTCTACCAATAATAATCCTCATAGAATTTATACCCTCCGTTTTTTAAGTCTTTATACTTTTACCTAGCAACAAATCCCTATTTCCTTCGCTGTAATTATTGTTGCTATGGAATTTGTGTTGACTTACATCAACCTCTGGCTTAATAAGCCGTCACAGTAAGTCATATCAAGTAACCGCCCCGTTGCCATAAAGATTCTCTCAATCGTAAAAACTCAACAGCATCCGCTCGTGTTTTTTCTAGCACATTTACACACGTGTACGGGTAACATGATAAAGTGTTTTCAATTGGAAAATTAAATCAAATCCAATCAAATCGTATCAGCATGCAGTATGCAGAAAATAGAGTGGAATAACAAGGAGCTGGAAGAGGAAATCGCATGACTGAGTGTTTTGTTTTTCCATTTCGCCGTACATCTACATCTCTGTTTTTTATGCCTTGTCTTTTGCGATGTGGCCATATCATCACCAGGAGCAACAGCCACTCATGCGTTTCAGAAAAAACAGGAAAAGGATAGAAACTACACCCATAAACTGAGTTTAAACGATTTTTAGAAAAATCTGGTTGTTAATATTTAATATTTATTTGATTTTTGTAATACTTAGACTGTACGTACTTTAAAGAACCCTTAATAGATACCCAACTAAGATTGGTTACACCTTCTAATGTCCCTCTTTCCCAACATTTTCCATTCCCTTTGATGTAGCGAAGGAATTAATGCCTTTTCCCTTGGAATTCCTTGAATGTGGAATATTCCCCCGGAAAGTCAGATTGCAGACTGTACTTTGGCATAAATTTGCAGTCCCCCTGGACGCACCTGTTAGACGTACACGAGCAGCATAAGGATATATGAATAAGGACTTCAATGACTTTGCCAAGCTTTCATTTACCCCTCCCCCCTTAAGAATACAGTACTCCCTCGTTGAAGTCTCCTGTCAATTGTTTACATGGCGAATTGTAGGGAAAACAAAGCGAATTTGAGGAAACCAACTGGGATAACATTAACATTAAGCCAAGAGCGTTGCAAAGGAAAAAGAAATCAATGTGAATTATTGATGAATGGTGCAGGGCAGAGGGCAACAGGAAAAATAAAACCAAACCAAACTGAGGAAAAAAAAGGGCAAATAAAACTGAAACGTGGCAGTACAAAGATGGCAAAGTAAAATAATAATAACACGCAAAAGTTTTGGAAAACAACGGAACAGAGGAACACGAACCCGGGACACAGGGTTTCCACGCGAAATGTAAAATGGGGAAATGCGGCGATGGCGATAAAAAGCAAATATCATGGCCTGCATACTTTTGGGCGCGTGATGCGTGAGAACAGCACTCAGATTCGGAATTCGGGATGATTCGGGGAGTCGGGGCGTCAGGATTCAGGATTCAGAACTCTCAGTGCGGCCCACGAGCATGAAATAATAATCAGAAGCCAAATAAGCGTTGAAATCTGAGCCATCGGTTGCCATGGCCCCCCAAAGACCCCCATCCTCCTGGTTGCCAGCTTCTTTTTCCAGCTACCCCCCTTTACGATTATTAAAACGAAATTGAAAACAAAGGGAAAGTGAATGTAACTGGAGAAGGGAAAAGACGAGCGGCTCAAAGAGAGTTGGAGAACTTATGTAATTTCACGCCCGTAAAGTATGCAATGCTTTGATTTAGTTGCCCAGTGACGTAAGTGCTGCCCCCCTTTTTCCAAAACACTGGAACAAAAAGATAGCCAACATTCAATTACAGAGGTTTTATTCCACCATAAGAGGTTTAAAAGGAATGGCTAGGAACAAGTAAATATTACTTGATCTCTTTTAAATCCTAATTTAAGCCTCTTGGAAATGTAATCTTTTTCCTGTTCAACTCTCTTTTAAAAAAACTCGTTATTAAAGCTTTCTTGGATGCGACTTTAATGGCCCTATAAGTTTACATTCCCACTAGCCACTGCAATACCCTGTGATTTATGCAAATGGCCGGGTCAGTGGCAAATTTACGATCCGCACATGACACACTCGAGTTATTGTCCTTAGGCTAACATTACTCAGGACAAGGGAATTATGGGAATTATGGGGCAAGGATTGGTAGTTCAAGACCAGCAGCGGATTGGCAACAAGTGAGAGAAAGGGGGAGGGGGAAGCCAGCAGCGAAATTATGGAAAATACTGGCCAAGTTTCCCGGTGTCGTGTGGCTCTCGTTTCGCATTCTCTGATATTCTGGTTTTAAGCATTTTTCTGGCATTCCGAACCCGCGCTCTGACATTTTTATTTCATTTCATTTGCACATTACAGGGCGGACTGGGGGGAGCGTGCTTAATAAGCTCCCTGGTGTACAATTTTCAGCGCTCGACTCGTAATGGAAATTATAGCTGATGTCATACACAGGGGAAATGCCCTGACTGGGGTCGCCTTTCCACTATCTGCTACACTGAGAGAAAGTCAATGAGGCTCGATGCAAATCGAAATTTTGGAAAATATTTGTAGGTGTCAACGAATAACAGGGAATGCCAAAGAATATGATAACCAAGAGTCCCACAGAAATCACTATGATTTTTTGTAATATGTAAATCTATCAATGTGTCTAAAAGTATGCAATAATAAATTTTCGATGGATTCGTTCCTGGAGATGAATCTTTTTTCACAACAAACTGTTAAGCACTTTAACCCGGATTTCATAACTCTCTCTATCGATAACATTTTCTAACAAATTCTTAGAAAATATCTGGAATTTAACATAACTTGTATAAGTGTCCAAAAGTATGCAACACTACATTATAAATTTATGTATAATAGATTCATTTCGTAAGACGAAGCTTTCTTGTTCACAGGATATTCTAAGACATTTTATAAAGCATCCCCCATTAGTTTTAACAAATTCCAAAAACATTTTTAGTTACCATCTAGTGCATTACTTTTCTAAGTTTTCCACTGTGTACCTCGCCTCTGCTCCTGTTTCAGTTTCAGTCCTGTGACGCCCTTCGAGTGAAAGTGAGTCAACTAACTGTGGCAATATGCCCGCCCACCAGCCCCACCCAACTTGTTGCAAGTGGGTCGCCAGAGGCGGGAGTTCAGTGGAGTTGTGGGGGGTGGCGGTGGCGGCTTTTAATGTTGCCTTCGGCTTCTGCCTGAGTGGATTAGTTAGTTGGGAGTAAGCAGGAGCAGCAGGTGGGGCGCACTCAGCTAGTTGATTTATAATTATGGCCGGGTAAAAACGCAAAAAAAATAAGTAAAGGTAAGGTAAGGGTAGCAGGAAAACAGCAGTGGCAACAGAAACGGCAACAGCAACAGCAGAAAGGCAAACAAAGCGCTCGAGGACCTGGGTAAACTGGCTAACTGCCTACCTCACCTTGTCTGCGGAAAAGCCGGAAAGTTTCAAGTGGCATATATACAAAGTTGTTCGGCTTGATTTGCTGCAATTGGAGTGTTTTCTGTTCTATTTCGGTCTGTGTTTTCCCTTTTTTTTCTGTTTTCTACCATTTGACATAGTTTTTTGTTGTTGCGAGTGACGGAAATTTCCTCAAGTGTGGATTTTGTTTCAGGGGAAAATGGGAGGAGGAGTTGGTATAATTATTTCGAATTAGTTTTGGCTTCTTTTCTGTGGCTGCTTTTGTGCGGATAATTGCAGTTTTATTAAATTAGTT